TGTGGAGTGACGAATCAAGGTTTCACAATAATGCTACTGTAAATCGTCACAATATGCATTATTGGTCTCCTGAAAACCCTCACTGGGTTAGGGAAACTAACTTTCAGACCATCTGGGGAGTAAATGTGTGGTGTGGATTATTTCAGGGACGACTGATAGGTCCCTATTTTTTTCAAGGTACGTTAACTGGTGCTAGGTACTTACACTTTCTTGAAAATGACCTTCCAGAACTTCTTGAAGAAATTCCAATACAAGAAAGAGGTGCTATGTGGTGGCAACAAGATGGAGCTCCTCCACATAATAGTAATTTAGTTACCCAATTTTTAAACGAACGCTTTGAAAATCAGTGGATCGGAAACAGCGGCCCTTTGAGGTGGCCTGCGCGTTCACCAGATTTATCGCCTCTAGATTTTTTTTATGGGGATATCTGAAGACCGTGGTATTTGAAACACAGCCATTGAATTTAGAAGATTTGCAAAATAAAATAGTACAAGCCTGCAATAACATTACACCAGAAATGATTACAGCGTCATGTACTCGTGAACTCATTCGACGTTTTGAAGCATGTTTGGCAAGTAATGGGGGCCATTTCGAACAATTTTTGTAAATATTCAATTATTTAAAAAACATATTAAGAGGTTTACCTATTCATTGGATTTGTTATTTTTTAATATAATAAAATGATAAAATGTAAACTAATTATTAATGACTTTAACCACAACATTGGTTTTTAGTCTTTACCGGCTTTATGACTCTGTAAAGTATATCAAAAATCATATCGTTGTATTCGGGACAAATTGAGTATTTATATCAGCGAAAAAAAATATAGGGGTGACATTTGAAAAAAAAAAGTTAGGGGTTGTTCCTATGGGGTGGATTGATGAATATAACTTTATGTAGTGGAATTTAAAAGGCTACTAGACAAATATTATTCATATTTTTTTTTACAATTTTATATCATTAAATAACCGAGATATCCGCTGGGCAAAAAAATCTGGGACACCTTGTAGATATCAGAGATATTTTAATTATTTTAGACAAGCAGGTGTACCAGCAATGGTAATCTGAGAATATATTTATCAATTATAATAAAATTAAAAAAATATATATTAATATTGTTTTTACCTGCTGGTAAACCTGCTTACTGTTAAATAAGTATGCTGAATAAGAGTGTAAAATGTTAGGTACTCATTTTATTAAATCAGAAAAAATAGGTCACAATTGCATACCTTCCTTCCTTCATTGATTTTTATAACATATTTAGTAAATATACAGGGTGTTTTCAAAGTTGAGTCATTTATCTTAACAGCTTGTAGAACTCGTCAAAAGAAGTTGATATACCAAAAATCACCTAAATAAAAGTTGCATAATAACAAACATTCATTATCGGTAAAATGTATTCCATTTTTACAAAAATTGTTCAAAATTGTCACCATTTGTCCGATTAATGCATAGTCTTGCTCGCGTACCCACGACTCCTGACAGGCCTCAAAAATAAAATTCGGATGTCCGCGAATAACATCACAAGCATTTACAATGCGGTCTTGAAGTTCTTCCACAGTATTTACTTTTCCATCATGATACACCAACTGTTTTAAATAATCCCACAGAAAAAAATCACAAGTCGTTAGGTCCGGGGAGCGTGCAGGCCAAGAAACGGGTCTATTCCTCCCTATACATCTATTCGGAAACTCTTCATTCAAATATTCACGAACTCCTCTTCTGAAATGCAGTGGAGCTCCGTCATGTAGAAACCACATATCCTGCCTAACATTCAGTGGAACATCTTATAATAATTCTGGCAGATGGTGCCGAAGAAAATCTAAATAAATATCACCGGTTAGCCGAGATAGAAAAAAGTATGATCCAATAAGCATGCCATTTACTACAAAAACCCAAACATTTAATGAAAATCTATGTTGAAAATTAGATCTTCTTACGGCATGCTGATTTTCTATTGTAAAAACGGCAAAATTCAACTCTTCTAGGATGATCTTCAGGTTGTAATGCTAGTACCCGTTGATAATGATAAGAATAATATTGTTCCTGTCGTATTTTTTCCACACTTTACTATGGGAAACATCGACTTGAGTTGCTATGACTCGGGTACTTATTGTTGGGTCATCTTCCACCATTTCCAAAATATTTTCTTTAATATCTACCATTTCAGGTGGAATAGGTCTTCCAGCGTGACCCCCTCGTTGTTCTTTCAAGTATCCTATCTCTCGAAGTCGAATAACTAAATTTACAAACTTCTGTGAAGCCGGATGATTTCTTAATGGAAACCTTTCCGCGTAAAGGCGACATACTGCGGCTGCATTTTGTTGGTACTCTCCATATGTTAGTATTATTTCCTCTAATTCATTGTTTCCATAAACGTGGGCCATTTTTTCGTACAAAATATCAAAAAAAAAATAAAATGATACGAACTAAACGCTTGATACCAATAACTAACCGAAAATCGTTCTCAAAACCGCAAAACAAAAAAAAAGCCATACCTAGATAAGTAAAATTGTCGTAGTAAACAAACAAAACGATAAGTTTTTACTTGGCAGTGGTCAGGAATATTAAAATATGCAGATAAATAGTTTGTATTTGTTTTAGTTTTAAAATTTTGAAATTCCTTTTTATTTATTTTAATATGCAACTTTTATGTAGGTGATTTTTGGTATATCGACTTCTTTTGACGAGTTCTACAAGCTGTTAAAATAAATGACTCAACTTTGAAAACACCCTGTATAATTTCAACATCATTAAGCAAGATGACTTGCACGTACCAATGTAAATAAAATATTTAATTTTCCTTGTATTTTTTTAAGAATATTACTATCAAATATTTTTTAATATTGTAACAACCCATAAGAGGTTTTATTATATAGATAGAAGTGTGTTCTTCGTTGTGATTCCAATTATAGGGAAAAAAAGGCTATAGTCGCCGAATATACATATATACATACAGGGTGTCCGGAAATAATGAGCAAAAAAATTTAAAAATAATATATAGCGTTTTTTTCCATTTCTTTTATTTTCTCCTCGATGGAAGACATCTTATTTTCCACATCAGCAGAAATTTCATTTCTTATAGAAGACATATCAGAGGAAATTTTAATTTTCATAGAATATATTTCTGAAAACACCTTTTCTTCCAAGTAAGAAATATTAGACGAAAATTTAGTTTCTATAGAAGACATTATACTTTCCAAGTATGTAGAAATTTCATCTTTTAAAGAAGAGATTTTGTTTTCTAAATCGGAAGAAATTTCTGTTTTTAAAGAAGAAAAATATTCATAAAAACATATGTAATTTCACTATTTTTAAACTTTCAAAAAAGAGCGCTCTATAAATGTTAGTATTATTTTTTCGAGTAGAATCAACCCTTAAATTTTTTGGTCATCATTTCCGAACACCCTGTATATAGGATGTACCAAATGTCTGGCTTCGGTGAAAAAGTATATTAATATAATCTTATTAACCAAAAAATTGGTTTAATAGAAAAAATAATATTTGATTCTAGTAATACAATTAATAGAAAAATACTTTCGTCCAATTAATATAAATAAAATTGATTCAGCATCAGATATTTGGCACACCCATCATATCTGTCCATCATATCCTTGCCCAGTATCTTTAAAACCTAAAAAAATGTTTGCACTCGCTTTACATATATTTCTAGATTACTCAAAAATTAGATGTTCTTATTTAATTTTGATTTATTTCTTCTATATTGTATATAAAACAAATTTCTTTAATAATGTTTTTATTTGCGTTGTCCGTTGCAAGCACAAACGGAATTGATATGAATAGAGGTACTTTTAAAAGTAATTCCATAAATTGGAACATAACCGTAAACAGTAAAAATTAATTAGTCACAGAATCACAACTTCCAATATAATTTTTGTAAAAAAAAAATTATCAATTAAAAAAAAAACTAAGAAATATATGTAAGTCTTGCAACGTTATTTAAGCAGTTATTTATGTCATATTTAGCCAATAGTCAAGATCTACTCATAACGGTTATAGTTACCATTGAGGTTTTTTATATAATGATATTATGAACATTTTTTTAATTATTCGCTAGTATAATACCATTTATTTAATATTTAGTATCGTAAAACACTTATGAAACCTCTGACCATCAACATATGTAAGTGTGGGTTGCAAATAGCGTAAAAATCATGCTAAATATTCAAGAAACACTGAAAAAAATCAAGTTCGGTCAAATTTAATGAAATAAAACTGTTTATTTATAATTTATTTACACTACGCATCAATATTAATTTATTTAACAATTCACCTAGACATTTGTATTCAAACTTCTGTTTATAAAAAATATCAACTGACTTACTATTTATATAAAAGCCAGCCCTGTTGATAAAAATATTTACAAAATATGTAGAAATATAATTTTGAAAACAGCATTTTAAAATTTCAACAAGTTTTCAAGTTACAAGATTTTAAAGTTGAACTTGGATTTTTTAACAATTTACATTGTTATTCTATCATTATTTTAAAACTAATTAATCTACAATCTTTAATATTTGAAAACAAAATATTACCAAAAACCCATACAGAACATGGAAACTACAAAGGTACTTGCGTTCCTCAAAACCCAAAACCAAGGGCTTCAAGTCATTTACAGGCAAGTGGAAGACAACGGTCTAACCATTGTACTGTTGATTGACGAAGACTCGCTTTAGAAAACCTGCAGTTAAAACCCTATCTGGGCCTAATTCAGGCAATATTCAAAATGCAAAGGGAGAGGAAGGAAGAACCTTCAGATGCTCAGAATAGTGCAAGCTAATCTGAATCACTACAAGGCCGCCTCCGCAACCCTTGCACATACCATTATTATCAGAGAGGACATAGACGTAGCCCTAATACAAGAACCCTGAATCTACAAAGGGGCTCGAAGAAATCAAAGTTAATATACAATACCCAATGTGGAAATACTAGGGCTTGTATGGTCTAGACATCCTCAACTTACAAGATTTCTGTTTTAGAGACCTAGTAGCAGTCAGGATGGAAATAAACATAGCAGGCAACAAGAGGCCACTCATTTTAACCTCTGCATACCTTCCCTATGACTCGCCCAGCCCTCCACCAATAGATAAGCCGAGGGATCTAGTAAATACCTGTCGGGCCGAAAACCTGCAGGTACTCATTGTTGCTGACGCAAATTCACACCATATAACATGGAGCAGTAAGGACAACAACAAAAGAGGTGAGTCTTTACTTGAATTCATTCTAACCACTAACCTGGAAATATTAAATCGTGGAAATGAATTTACTTTTGTAACCAGTAGACGAAGCGAGGTTATTGCGACATCAGGACGTCTAAATCAAATTAGATTTATTATTAATCGTTCTGCATTATTTTTTGGAGAATGTTCTGAAATTTACCTTGAATATTCAACGTTAAACCCAGAAACTAATTCAGATTCACCCTCAACAAAATCAATGATATTAACACAGCTTATACAATACAGCTCCACAACTCCGTGTCGGCGTCTTTGATCTGGCGGTCGAGAACCAAGCAAGACGGAATGGTGCTATCTCTGTTAGATTAAAGGGAAAAGTCGGGCCCGGATTAAGCAATTTTTTTATTATTGAAAAAATTGAAAACCTTGACGTAATAAGGTTGGTTACATGCCATGTTAAGTAAGTTTTGGGAAATTAAATTTTTAATTTGTTTTAAATCTGTCAAATATAATTAAAAAAATTATTTAAATATAAATATTACGAAAAATAGCACATCTTTCGGATTAGAGGTAAAATAATTTGTATGTGGCTAGTAAAATCCTCGTTAACAAATGTTTTGAGCTAAAACAGTCACTTCACGACAAATTGTGACTTGGATCCTTTTTACACCAAGGGCTTCAATTGTTAAAGAAATGTGTCACGCTCGTGGATGCAAATCAAGTGGTACCCCGTGTCTCTGGCAAGTGTTACTCTTCGCGCAAAGGGTTTATACCTAGATAAACGAATGCTTCGACTGAGGTCTGGGAACTCTATGGTATTTTGGAATTATAAAGAATTTGTGCTTTTATTTTAACAATATTGGTTATATTTAGATGTATTCTTATTAATTGAAATACAGATTTGTAGAAGTAATACTTTAACAATTTTTATTAATATAATATATTCAATTTTTATCTGACCATACCGAAGTAGGGAATTTTGAAACTTTATAGTAATGTGAAATTTGAATTACAATATTACACGATATTACATAATTAGTACTTATTTTAGGTAGGTACTAAATTTGTACTTGGAGAAAGTAATATCGATTTTTACAAGAAAACTTGAAAAGTAAATTAAAATAGTTCTTATTTCTGATGTAAAACTTAAACCAAGAAAACAAATAAATTGTAGTTTGTTCAACAAGGGTGGATATGATAGCCATATCACACAAAGACGAAGTTTGAGCACGACGTCGTAGGCGGAGTACTCAATCGTTTGATTGTGATATGAACAATCCACTCGATATGGTCAGTATATTTTTTCTACGACCCACTAACGAAAATCTACAAATTTAAAAAATTATTTTAGGTTATTTAGACAAAATAACTAATTTTAAAATAATTTACGAAGTTGACTAATTTATAAAATAAAATATCATGTAGTTTGATTAAAATTTATTTTTTTTTTAAATGTGGACATAATAAAAACAAAAATGCTATTATTTATCGAGTCTACACAAAAATTTTAATGTATATTTAATATCAATAACTAAAATATATATTGACAATTAGTTTAACAGAATTATCACTTATTTAAAAATTTTTAAATAATAGGAGTTGGGTGACCAAAATATGAACTGTGATTTGTAGATTTAATTTTGTTAAAGTGTTCTCACTACCTAAAATGGATATGAAATATATTCGTAGTTGAACGCAATAACATAATTTTTCGTTTTGTAGTATGTGCGTAGATTGGCTAATATCCATGCACAGATTACAAAACGAAAAAGTATGCTATTGCCTTCAATTGAACGAATATATTTCATATCCATTCTAGGTAGTGAGAACACTGCAAAAAAAAATAAATTCGCCAAGCACCGTTCATATTTTGATCAACCGACTGCTATTATTTTTAAAATTTTAAATAAATGACAATTCTGTCAAACTAATTGTCAGTATATTTTTTAGTTATTGAGATTAAACATACAATAAAATAAGTTATTCTTTTGGAAAACGTTAGCATGGATGACTAAAGGGTATTGGGTTAATTAATGCTAAAAGTGTGGTACAAATGTTATTTTTTGTAGCCAATTCTTCAAAATTATTTTAAAATATCTTTTCAATATTGAATATTAGTTCTGCAAATTCATCATTTGACAGTTGCAGATTTCCAAATGTATCTGAATTGGCGTTATCATATGCCTTTTAAAAGCAATAAAAAGAAAAATCGTCTAATTCAACGTGATCTTTGTTATATTTAAGACAGGTATCGCAGGAGTGGATCCGCAAGGCTTTTATTAAAAGGTAACCACACACATACCTGATAAAATTTTTCTGTAGCAATTCGTCTTTACAATAATTTAGGGTGTTAATAATTTCATCATAAAATAAAATACAAGGTGTTCCATTTAAAAAACATACATTTTAATTTTCCAGGCAAAACCCTGTATATCCAAAGATATTTTTAAAATATGTAGGTATTTTTCAAATCCATATAACTTTTATTTAAAACTTTCTTGCGTGTCTACAACAAAATAATGAACAATAACGCACTAATGAGACACCCTGTATAAATTATATTTTTTACAATGAAAATTTCTTATAATGTAGTACTTATCGGTTTGGGTCCTTGGGAAAACTAAAGAATGTTTTCTTGCAGGTATAACCCTTATTAAAACAGCTTTTGACTGCACAAACTCATTCTACTCACAGCTAAAGAGTCACCAAAATAATAACAGTACCTTTAACTCAAACAAAATCAACGAAATTATAGGCTCCACGAAATTATACAATCAACGAAATTATACGCACGACTCAACACCTTGCCTAAGTACGCTTCTGAACGCCAAAACCGTCTTTTCCCTTCGAAGGCGGAGCTTAAGCGATGCGCGACGAAATCGACGCAAACCGTTGCCGCCAAGAGAGTGTTTTAGCTGTATTGTATAAGCTGTAATATTACCCTTGGTTCTTCCTTCGTTTCAAATCACATTGGCAAGTGGTACGTATCTAGAGAGCCTTCGCTCTTAGATCATCGGCATATTCTCATGGAAATCGACAACGTCGATAAACCAGGAGATGTATACCGAGACCCACATAGAACCGATTGGTTTGGATACGGGGTGGAGCTGGGGGCAGTGTTAAAAACCGTTAAAATAACTCTTAATACCAAAAATATTATAGGCGAAGTTACAAAACAACTACGGGACGCAATTATAACATCATATCACAATAAAGAACAGGAAATCTTTTAGGGAAGTGAACTGGTGGAAAACCGAACTCACCAAACTCTCGTAATCAAGATAGAATGGGGACTCAGTAGCCAAGAAATTTACATTGTTGCCTTTATTTTATCACTATTTCCAAACTAATTAATCTACAATCTTTAATATTTCAAAAAAATATTAAAAACATTTTTGAAGACCACATTTTTAAATTTAAACAAATTTTGAAGTTACAGGGTAATTAAAGTTTAACTTTTTTACAATTTGATATTGTTGCCTTTATTTCATCACCATTTCCAAACTAACTGGTCTATAAACTTAAAAATTTGATAAAATATTTTCAAAAAGTGTAGAAACATAATTTTGAAAACCACAATTTGAAATTTCAAGTTACAAGGTTTAAAAGTTGACCTTGGATTGAACACAGTATTACCAAACCATTCTAAACCTGAAATAAAATATAATTTAAAAAAATATACATTTTTTATTTGCCAAATAAAAACACATTGTATATTTAAAAATATAAAAATATAACTTTTATTTGAAATTTATTTACGTGTCAATAACACAAATATTAAACAATTACGCACCAATGGGACACTCTGTATAGATCTTGATATGCAGGGCCGCCGAGAGCCAGACCGGGCCCCAGGACAATTCTCTAGATCGGGCCCCGTGCCAAAAAAACCAAAACCAAAAACTGTTCCTCTTCTACTGAAATAGGTCCTCGCATCAAAAATCTATTCTCACTACTTCAATTACTTCTTCTTCCTCAGCCGAAAAATACGCTAAAAGTTTTCCTCTACTTGTATTTAATTTTAATTTAAACTTAACTTCCCTCTCTCATCTTGTGTCAATTTCTCATGCAAAACAAAAAAAACCTGTTGTCGGGCCCCCCTTACAGCACTGCCGGGCCCCCATTTAAGCCCGGGCCCCGGGAATTAGTCCCGGCTACCCCCCTCTAGTCGGCCCTGTTGATATGGCATTTGGTCCCTTGAAGATTACCTACAATTGTTACACGATTTTACGCTCTATGCAATCTTTTATTATAATATAAGAGGAAAAAGGTTTAGAATAATATCAATAACATTCTGATAAGCCAGAGATGATCTATTGTTCCAAGCAGGGGCGCATATATGGGGGATGGTAACGGGATTAATTAACCTTCAAGAATTTTTAAATGTATAATTATGATTCTGCAATTGGCTAAAAACTGATTATAAATACAAGCTAAAATATTTTTACATTGAATCATTTTATATTTTTATTATTTTAAGTATACCTAGAATATATAAAAAGATAGATATACTCGTATAAGAATTTAATTTTTAGAAAATTAATAGATACTAAAAGTTTATAAGTATTCGAATACTTAGTCAACAAATTAAAAAATATATTTAATGTTATTAACAGGGTTATAGTGTATTGCATCTAATACATTATTGTTTATAAGTTAATTATTTTTTTTATATATAATTAAATTTGAAAACCAATTATGATTGTTTTTTTTTTAACCTATTGCTATTGCTTTAAATTGTAACCCTTTATCCGTCCCTGTATATAAATGTATTATTATTTATTATAGACCAAAAATATACATTTATAAACAATAATGTATAGGATTTATCATATTAAATTTGAAATTTAATGTTTTTATAAACATTTTTCTTGAATCAAAATTACTGCTCAATTTATTTATTTTCTTGATGTAAACCACCAGTATTTACAATAAACGTCTTCTATATGTATTATATTTAAACAATTTTCTTACGAAGGCGATTTTATGAAGTCACTTTTACAATAAATGTATTGCACTTTACTTATAAATAGCCGTAGGTATTACTATATAAATTTTGTAAAATTTAAGATTTTTATACTTTTTTTTAATTGAGTAAATTAACATATACACAGTTCAGAAACGCTTGTTAATGAGTGATATATATTAATGTTGATTTGTTCATTACCAGTTGTTGTATAGTTTTGTAACAATTTAAATATATAAGTGTTAATATAGAGTTGTACTAAAATTATTGAAGAACTAAATAAAGTTACCAATTAAAAATGCTTTTTTTAATAATATTTTCCACAGTTCTCATATTTTCCTCAACCTCTTTTCCTTAACATGAATAAAACTGGTTGGAAAATTATTAAAAAGTTGCATTTTATGACAATTTTGGAAACAAAATTTGTATCAGGATAACAGAAGGTCGAGTAGGTATAGGAGGTATTTTAAAAAAGACTTGTTTGCATTTTACGATAATTTCAATGACAAATTTTATATCAGAACCAACGCTATAGAGCCCTTTAATATATATCGTGATCTACATTTACAATTTAATCATTAGTTATCGAGAAAAACGAAAAAAACAAAAGCAACTGTGTTCATCCCTTAATTTGTTGTGCTCTCCTTTATATGTAACCAAATTATCATTAAAATCGAAAACGAACAAAATTCATTAATGAAATGAAATCCGAAATCGACGAAAAGTTGATTTTTGAAAAAAAAAAAGTTGAAAATTCAATAAAAAAAAATAGTTTTTATTGCACGAGTCGATAGAACTCCCTATGTACTTCATTTAAAGGTCTATCTGTGTACCTACTGGTCATTTTGCTCTATCTTTTACGGTTTCGGAATTATTCGCGTTTGAAGTGTTTGAACTAGAACGGCTAGATAACACCATGACACCACCCACTTCTTCTATGCTATTGAAGCAAGAATCATGTCCGAAGTATAAATAACATATATGTTAGGAAAGAGGACTAAAAATAAAAAGGCAATAACTAAAACATGTTTATTTTATATTCCAACTTTATACACACATCGCAAATGTCTAGGAATACGTTAAAATTGCCTTAAAAAAAAACAAGCAATAAATAACGAATAGATTTATTTTATTTTCTAACAAAAATCGTTGATTGTCCATTGTTCCTTCCATAAAAAAAATTTAACAAAAAAGTTGTTCGAAAAAGGTACATACAGGGTGTAACAAAAGTTCTACAATGTGAAACCGCCATGTTTATATCCACCCTTAGGATTTCGTTTTATTAATTTAACATGTCAATTGTAAAGTGGCATAAAATAAATTTATTTCCCAAGACAGTAGCGGTGTATATAAATAAGCTTCTAAAATAGACGTTTAATTTGTTTTTTTTTTAATTGAACACAATTTTTTTTATTCCACCTAAAGCAATCAGAACTTAAAGGTTTTTGCCTATGTCATCAATGTTTGGCAAATATACTCATTGATTTTGAAGACGATTAGCTGTAAAATGCATACATTTGATATTTTGAAAAAAAAAAAAAAGAAACCGCTTAAATAAAACAAATGCAGGCGTTTTTACTGTAATCTTTACACATCTCAGATAAAAAAATACCTTTTATATGACCTGCTTATTTTAACAACATAGACCAAAGGTAGATAAAAACAAAGAGCATTTTTAAAACATCCTAATATTTACTTGACTATTGTTCTCCATTATACCACGCAGGCATCCACCTTTGTTCCTTATACAAGTCATTTCTTATGCTACTCCTACTCTGCTGCCTGTCATCCAATACAAAAAAGGCTGGATCAGCCTCCATTGAATTCCAAGTAGTCCCCTTGTTTGTTCCTGTTACAACGGATTCCCTAAACTGATGCCTTCTCCAATTTCCTTTGAATCTAGGAGAGGGAGTCTTGGGTTTCTCCGGTGGTACAGGTGAAGGAGTCAGAGATCTTGGAAAAACGCGTTGTCTCTTATCAGTGTCTTCTTTGGGTGTTATCTTTTTGGACCCACTAGGAGAAATAATTTTGGGAGAACAGAAAAGAATTTTAGGTGAAGAAGAAAGGATTTTGGGAGAAGAAGGCACGCTTGAAGAAGAAGAACTTGGCTTTTGCTTTGACGATTTTGGTCTTTCTTCTTTTGAGGTAGTTTCCGTTTGTTTTATATTGTCATTTGGGCTGAAAATAAAATGTAGTTTTTAATATCTTCAATTAATTCTTTCGGTGTAACAAGAATAGAAGGTATCTAAATATTTCCTTTTTCATTATTAGTGGTACGAACTAAGTAGCCATAGTCCAGAAGCTATTGGGGTAATATAAATGTAAAATAAGTCCTGGACAATTATATTGTCCAAGAGTTCCACGGTTCTTTCTTCGTTTATTCTGTTTTTGGTTTCTATCTCTTCGACTTTTACAAAGTGATCTCTATATATGTATAGACACTTATAGGATGATTTTGTAAATATTCAAACATATGCCAAGGATGTGGTAAACGAGTGTTTAACTATAGAAGTAGAGTAAGTGATAAATATATAAATAATTGTCTTACTTAGAAGTTTCAATGTCAATTACAGTTTCATCATTAATATTTATATTAGGAATTTCCAAAATTCTCCTCCTTTGTCCCTGAGGAGGTTTCTCTCGAACTAAATAATCAATGTATGCCTTCCTATATTCCGGTTGACATTCGAATGGACCATCAAACGCCGGATCTCCATCTATTTGTTTGTCGAAAGGATCGTCAAAAATTTGACCTGATTTTCTTCTATTGAATTGCGTTTTTTCTATAGGTTTATACTCTTTATATTTTTCTTCGTTTTCTGTTAGATAATTAACCTAAAAATATGGTTTTAGCTCTTAGAAGTAATACACAAAAACAAAATATACTGGGTGTCCCAAAATTAGTACCTTTATAAAATATAGATAGAACAAAATCGTTTATTTTCAATAATTAAGTGGAACTTTGGATTAAAATAAAACTTTACAGGATTAACAGTTCAACAAACATGTGGTGTGTGATTTTGTAAGAAACGTTTTTATTTTTAATATATTATATAAAATAACTAATAAAAATACCTTTCCCTCATTGGTAAAGTTACTTTGAGGTCTTCTAACACGTGGTCGTTCTCTTGGAAAATCAGTAAAGGCACTTCGGTACTCAGGTTCTCCAAAAAATTTACCATCTCCAACTGAATTAACAACAGTCGATCCTTTCTTTGTTCGTTTTCTATCTAAACTCATATTTTGACTACGATCAAAATCTAAATAAGCATTTTTCTGCGGAGTTTTAGATATTCTCTTTCTCTCATCACTTATAGCCGATTTAACCAAATTGGGATGTGACGACGTTCTATTCAAAGACACGTTACTCTGACTTCTGCTAAATGAATTACTTCTTCTGTATTGTTTGTCTTCTAAATCATGGTGGCTGTATGATTCTCGTAAAAAAGGTATTAAAGGAGTTCTTCTTCCAAAAGTTGCATCTTCGTTAGAGTTATCTTCGAACAGTCGTGCAGATTTTAAATTGTGTAATGGCAGTATTGGTCCAGAACGTACTGGGTTCTGGTATTGAACATATTGATGCCTATAATATTAAAGGAATAAAAATTATACAGCCAAAAGCAAATATTCTCACCTATACTCAGGGATTAATGAGTGATCTCCTTCCAAATGAAGGTTGGTAGATTTCTTCTTTAGAGGAGGACGAGGTTTAACATCAAACGGAACAAATTTTTCTTGTTTCTCAGTTTTAATGTCCAAATCACCTTCTAAATGTAAATTGGTAAATTTTCTACATAAACTAGGTCTTTCCATTTTATCATATTTTATGAATTGGTCGGTAGTTTCAGTCTTTGTTTCCATCTCTCCTGTTCCTAATTTGAACAAAAATAAAAATTTCTAATTTAAGTGGTTGAAAACGTATTAAAAAGTGAGGATACAATACAATTATTAGAACAAATGTCTAGAGTAGTGATATATATTTTCATAAAAATGATCTGCTAAATTAAAAGTAATGAATTACCTAATTTTAAAGTTGTAGGTGTCCTGCATAATTCTGCTCTCTTAACTAAGAGATATTCAATAAATTTTTCAGCGTGTTCGGTTAAATGGTAGAAGTCTCCTTCGAGTTTTAAGTTGGTTGGTCTTCTATTTAAATGACGTCCAGGTGATCCAATTACTGTAATTCGTGGAATATTTTCAATTTGATTTTCTCTGCAAAATTATATAAATTTTATCTATGTATTAAGCATATAAAAAAAATATTAGGTAGGTATTTTTTTAAATTTAGGAAAATCTTTACATGTTTTTTAAAAATATATACTCTACCTTGACACAGAAAAAGAAACGGGGCACTTTTAAAAGAAAAATTATTTAACGCGACTGACAGACCGCTTATCGTGACCGGACAGAAAGGGAGTTGGATTACTTCTGAAATTTGCATTCGCTTTATGAAAACAAATATTCTAAACTTCACGGTAATTTATGAGAAATCGATAAACTTCCAGGAAAACTTTTAGGATGATTTGCAGGTGAATTGATGATCGATTTGGGAGTAGTCATTATTGAAGGAGTGTCCAATTTATAGGCAGATACCTAATGTACATTTGGGCGATGTGCAATGCGAATTCCATTTAGCAGCGAAACATGCAAACTTTGGCAAACTTTCGATATTAAATTTTTTCCATTAGGAATATTAAATTATAATGAATGCGGACTTATTTACAAACATAAAAAATGCTTGAAAATATTAGGTTTTCAATTCTAAAAAAGAAAGTTTTGTATCTTAAATTCCACATTAAAAACGCTGTTTTTACTTGGTATCTTTGGTTGTTTGTAAATTAATACGAAGACGGTATAAAAGCATTGAATTATATCAATAGGAAAAGAGAAGAGATAGAAAATAATTTTCAATAATCTAGCTTTGATTTTGCTTCCTGCTTTCATCTTAAAAAAAATTAAATGGCTTTTTTATCAGTATTACCTGTTGATGGCTTCATAATCAGAAACATCTTTAAGTAATTCTTCTGAAAGGGCATTCGCTCTTTGTAAAATACGGCTACCAAAAGATTCATTGTATTCTGATTGATGTTCTTGTGCCCCCTCTAATTTTAATGATGCTTCTGGTATGATTTTTTCGATATCCAAAAGGTCCTTCTGAAACAACCAGTACATATTAATTCATTTTAATTTTCTTAAGTTGTTGGTATTTTTTTGTGCTTTTATTTCATGATATCCTGCACAGTTTTTAATAATTCTCAGATACGTTAACCAGGTTTTTATTGAAAATTAGGTCTATTTTTTGAAAACGCAAAGAAATCTTCGGAGATGGATGGAATGGTAATTTTTAGAAGCTATGACAATAATTTGAAAAGTGGTATCTTCAAAAGAAACAATTGGATATAAAATCACCGCTTTAATACTTAAAAAACACCCTGTATACAGTTGCGCGTTGGACATAGATTTTCCTTTATTTTCCAAGATCTCAAAAATAGGTATATTAGTTGAAACATAGCCGAATTTAATGATGCAATCTTAGTAATACTTACACCATTTAAGGACGATTTGAGAGCTTCATAAAAGTTTTTAAATCTCCTTCTATACTCCGACTTCAAATGCTTGAATGAACCTTCTTGGACCTTCAAATTATCTTTCAGCAAACCAATGTCTAAAAAGAGAAATTGAGAACGTATTAGAATTACATCTAGAACTTTAATAATTTAATATTTTACTTCGTCCCTTTCGATAGAACCATAAATCATCTACTGTAACATTAGGAGGAATTGGATCCATCCAATTTTCTGATCTTCTTTCATGTACTTCTGAAACATCTTTAACTCTGAAAACAGAATAAGTTTTTATTAAATGCTAATTTTATAAGAGTTATCAAAAATATATAGTAATTTTTAGTTTATTATGCTTGTGTGGGATAATGGTTTAATCATCATTATTATATAATAATACTCTCCCTAATTGACCCCCATACGAGTAAATTTTAACCCCAAAAGATGAGTTTGTCCAAGAAGAGGGACAGCTATTATTATTATTTGCCGTGGCACTCTGGGTCGACTTAAAGATGATCCACCATCATCGAAAACTGTAACGCATGGCGATTTTTTAATAATCTGCTAATACGGCATCCTAAATTCTAAATTGACTACATTTAAGAAGTTTAATAACATTGTTTAATTTAAATGTGTGAGTATTAAATAAGCAAAAAAAAGATTATTTTAGTTAGAATCATTTAACGATTTACACCGAATTTATCCACTTAAACAAGCAGGTACGTAACTTCATTTTCACGGAAATCTGATAACGTATTTAATTTTAGGTGGTGCTAAATGAGAGACTTTCTAAACAAAGTTCATAGTGTGTATTCAATCGGTTTTACTGATAGGCGAACTGACTCCCGACACGCAAATCCATTTAATTCTATTTATTATACTTTTCTTTGAAAAAAATAGAGCGCCAATAAAAATGTTCGGTGGGTTAAAAGAAACTGTGGCCTAATTACTAACGAATCGAAATTGTCATTAGCTTACTTTTTGCTGACAGCAGTAAAATAAATGTTTGCCAAATCCTACTTAATAAACGATCGATAATTTCTTAAGAGTTTGCCCTATTTTAAACTTGTATGTTTTAATGACTATCTATAATTAAAAATCAACTTTCTTTATTTGGGATTAGGCTAAAAAAAATATTGATAAAAAAGGACAGTTCGAACATGTATTAAGTCTGTAAAGTACATTTACAAACAGAGTTGAATAAAACAATTTACTTATATTTTATGATCGGTCAAATACATTTAAATTGGAGTGTGGTTGTAATGAACACTTTCTAAATATTCTAAATATTAAGGATAACAATGACCTGATAGGACGTTAGGATCACGGCTGAATAAAATTACACGCACGTTTGTAAACACCAAGTTCTTTTTCTGTCCATACAATACTTTATTCATATAATATACAGGGAAAATTCTGTTAACGGGAAACACAACGAATGTTCATGGCAGTCGTGGCTCGTAACCAAAACATTGGGGGTTCGCAACGACAGAATATAGGTCTCAGTACAGTTGTAGGTTAAAAATGTTCAGTGTTTATTGCAAGGTATAATCTTCGAGCTACCTTTCTGAATATGGATGAGCAATCTATATTAACTATATATCATTGGATCTAGTTATTCTAGTAAACAAGCGCCATTCTGGTCCCTTTCTGAAACCTTATTTACTACTTTGAGATGAGCACTTTTTGAAATAAACAATATATCCTGCTTTGTTCTACATTCCATAGTTTTATCATTAAGCATTAAGTACATAGTTGGTGTAAATGACACTTGCGTCAAATCATTGGGAAAGTGTGACCTACGGCCTCATTTAATTGTGATGCAATTTATTTTGTGGTGAACTATAAAGGAAACTCGTTAAAGAAAGCATGCAACTAGAGTTACCAGACTCTTTAGGCGTATTTGCCACACTTTTCGACTTGTTTTTTTTTTAGAAATTTCACAAAGGATGGCTCTGATTGTATAGAAAATGCTTGGTATTCGTACCTGATTTCCTATCGTCATCGTTGTCCCACTTTTCACTTTTGTAAATCTGGCGACCCTATTGTTTATTTATTCTTTCAGATAGGCACATTTAGATTTGAACCGTTGAAAATCGTGGTCAAAATTACCACATATATGTACCCCACCTTGAATAAAAAAGTTTTTATCATTTTCAATATACGAGTACATTGACCATCAACATCGTGCTGGACGTATCTGGATTGTGACATGACTCCAGCTATTAAATGGTAAATTTATTATCGTTCGTAGGGGCCGTTTTCCGACAGAAAAGGGACACACGAAATTTCGACCATGTTTAAAAATAATGTATATTATTATTTTGACACAGATCATGCAATAATGTTGTTACTAAAATATCTACATTAATGCAAAATCCGGCTAGTCGATAGCAATGAAGGCTAAGCTGTGCTTTTGGAAGTTCTCGACGCGTCTCAGATTGTTACGATGACCTGCTGGCCCAGATTTCCATATTTCTATCATTATTCCAAATCTAATTCTCTGTGCTGCAGTTTAACACAATCTTAATCTGCATTTGTAATGAATTCGCGACAACGACCAGAATTAAAAATTCTTGATTTTGTTATGAAGTTGTTAATTGTTTTTAGTTGTTGACAACAGCTTTTATAAAGAAAAACTATTAGAAAACGTAGGTCAGCATTTTAAATATATGATTAATTCTTTTTCTAGATCATTGGAGCTTTATTTAAATGATATAAAAACTTTTTCAATCAGTTAGTCTTCAAATATAATATTATTGACTTCAAATAAATCAAAGTTCGAGGCTAAGTCGCCATTTTGAGTACACTTTTCCATCACTCGAAGTGCGTCAATCTGTCATATCGCAAAATAGTGTTTATGTTGTCTCTACTTCTGCTGCGTTTGAGAATTCACATCGGATGCATCTGAGATGTAAAAAATCTTTGATCACGTGCTTGAGTATACGTAAATGTAATGGGACAGATGTGTCCGATGTGGATAAAAAAACGCTCGAGATGTAAAAAATGCATCCGATGTGGATTCTCAAACGCGGCATTCATTTTATCTCAATCACGAAGTATAGATATATAAGGAGTCCAAACGTAATGTTGTATGAATGGCATCAATTTGGGGGGACAGACTTTTTACCGGTAGGACGCGCTACTTTTAAAGAAGTTTGTTTAAATCCTTACGCGCTAAGTCTTGTTGCTATTGACTGCTGTTACTAAAAATATTCTGAAACGTGGAATTAAATGTAAATTTTTAGAAACTTCTCAAACGCTTTCAACCCAATATATACTGCGTTTGAGAATCCACATCGGATGCATTTTTTACATCTCGAGCGTTTTTTTATCCACATCGAACACATCTGTCCCATTACATTTACGTATACTGAATCACGTGATCAAAGATTTTTTACATCTCAGATGCATCCGATGTGGATTCTCAAACGCGGCGAATATCGAGAATATCGATACGTCATGAATATTTGCGCAGCCAGTGGCAGAAAAAAGAACTAAGATCTGGGTTTAATATTTGTGTACATGAATCCTACAAAAAAGTTTATACCGTTCGAACTCCTTATATCTATACTTCGTGATCTCAAAGATTAAATCCAAACTGACAATTAAAAAAAAGAATATTTACTCGCTCGACATACGCCATTTTTTGTGGATCACTCCTTAAATCAAAAAAATAATAAAACTCTTAAATAAAATATTTATGATTAAAATATTAAATGAAACGGCCAATAATTATTACATTTAGGTAATACAATATTGAGTAATGTAGACAAAAACTTCACGTTTATACGATCAATAATATGTTCTTTTAAAAACGATTCTTCCTGAATATTTAAAAAGTGAATAATTAATGAAAATTCGCCGAGACAGTTCAATGGAATGGCGTAGCGAGTGATACTTCATCAAAGAGCTTTGCCCTACCCTTGTAAATGTCTATTGGCGACTAAAAATTTTGAAAACATTGAATAACGTTAAATCCACTAGCATTCAAATAGGCAAATGGGGTATTATTGTTTACAGAATTTCATTCTGAATCTGAAATTAAAAAAAAATATAGGGCACCTATTCTATTTGAAATAACGAAGTTAGTATAACCGGCAGTTTCACAGATTTAATTTTATTTCAATTTAAAAGAACATATTCAATTATATATACCCAGAAGTCGGCGAAAATACAAATTAATTCATTCTCCATAAAGTAGTAATGACCGCCTTTGAAAAAGTTATGTAAAATGTAGAAAAACTTGTTTATTTTAATGACTTCTGTTGTACACAGTTCATAAACAAGTATTAACTTTGGAATCACCCTATAAATGCAATTTCAGAAATGTTATTATGAATGGATCATTTTAAATGAACACACGAATATAAATTACTGTTCAACTAAAAACCACCAATGCAGAAGAGAGGAAAAAAATATAATTACTTAATTTCATGGCTTTAATAATTCATATAAAACTTCTAAAAATAATGTATATGATTGACAAATGTTTTATCGTTTTATTTCCCTAAAACCCCCTTGTAAATAAAGAAAGGTAAATTACTGAACAAATATTTTAATAAAATTAGTTCATTTGACAAATTTTAAATAAAATATATCAACTTTTGGCAAATAACTAACAGAAAATGATTTTCGTATTTCTTAGCCAAATAAACATTAATACAAGGATGGCATTGCCTATAGATATTCCCTTTTTGGCATATTTTTTTGAATAAAAGGCTCATAAAACGTAAGAATTTTCTTCTCGGGGGGGTCATGGCCCCTATGGCTCCCACCCTGAAGCCGATCTTGCATTAATATATATGCAATTTCAATAAAAACTTTTATCTCTTTTTTACCAGAAAACAAATTAGTTATATTAATTAGTTTGTGTCATATTATTTTTAAATTTGGACAAATGAAAACAATTTTCTAGTCAAATAAACTTTAATCATATGTAAATTTTAATAGAAAACAAACTAATTACAATTAGTTCGTACAATATTATTTATAAATCCAGACAATATGTTTACCTAAAAAGCAAATAATGTAAATATGTATCAACGTAAAACTTACCCTCTTTTCCTTTGTCCCTTGAAATCTTCCTTTTCTTCAACAGCCATCCACTTTCCATACGGAAACACTTATAAAAAACTAACTACCCCAACACGTGTCCTGAATATAAATGGATTCTTTTACCTACCGTGCGTGACTGTACTCGTAGCCTGAAAACAATCCGACTGAAAACTGAAATTTTCGATACTACTGACACATATTTGCGCAAATCGTAAACCTTGAACAGTCAACCTTTGAACACCGAACTCTAGCAGATTGACCCATTTCTTTCACTGACTAATTGAATGGGGTTGATGAAAATAGTGTTAAGACACTAGAGAAATTAAAGTTTATAGAAATAAAAGCAAACAAAGTTGATATGAACGAGGAATATTTGTCACTACCAAATGAAATGTGATTAATTATTTATACAATAATAACACAAAAAGATTGAATTAGTTACAGGGCCGTTGCATACCGCTTGAGCACCTTCGTGAAAATGTATCAGAAGTTCAATATTCATTTTCGGCCACAAATCTGTACTTTTAAACAGTTGTACTATCAAAAACTTCATCAACTTCGAAAAGAGTTACAGTTTCCTCAACTAAACATGTTGATGTCGATGATTCCTTATTATCATAACTTTTAAAGTAGATGCAATGGGTTCTTTAAAAAAACTATGTAATTTTTTTTATTGATAACTTCCAAAACTCTTCCCGTTTACGTTTGTTAGTTAGATTTTGGTAACCAGAAAGTTTCTTCTAAAATATTTTTGAGAGAGAGAGAGATATGCTTTATTGTCGTAAAAAAATTTAAAAAAATTTTATAGACGTGTAACTTAAATACTAAACATATTATAAAAATAACTAAACAGCAGAAAAAACAAACAGAAACAAACAGACAAAATAGGAATAACAATTGCAATGGATATGCAATATCCGTCATTATAATTATTCTAATTAAATTTAAATTTTAATATTTAATTATTTAATTAATGCCATTGTATGTGGAACTCAAATGTCTAAGGTACGTTATAAAATTCTGCTACTGTGTAATATGGTCTTTCTAGAAGAAAAGCTTTAGCCAGTCTTCGGAACTTATCGTATGTATTTATAGATTTTAATTGCATCGGAAGGTTATTATACAATTTTTTGGCATTGTAGGTAATGGAATGTTTTAATAGGTCAGAAGTGGGCATTGTTAAATAAACATCAGTCTCTAAATTTCTTGTAGGATATCTACGAGTCGGTCTTTCGGATAAATTTTGAATGTGCTTGCGAACTAAGCAGACGGATTCGAAAATAAATAGAGCAGGAAGGGTTAGAATTTTGAAATGTTTGAAGTAATTTTCGCAATGTGTCCTACTACTTAAACCAAATACATAGCGGATTGCTCTTTTTTGCAGTTTAAAAATAGATTCGAAAAGGTATAAGCTACAAGAACCCCAGAAAGGTAAACCATAGCGAAGGTGAGATTCGAATAAGGAAAAGTAGGTTATTAATGCAGTAGAAGGAGTCAGCTCTTTATAAACCGATTTAATGGCAAAACATGCGGAGGATAATTTTTTTGCTAAGGTATCTATATGAGCAGACCATTTTAGAGAATCGTCTATATAAAGACCTAAAAACTTGATTGAAGTCACCGTTTGGATCAGATTATTGTTTAAAGTTATAGGTTGTAAAGTACCTCTGTAAGACAATGCTACAGTTTTACTGGTGTTGAAACAAAGTCCATTCAAATCAGACCAGGACTTAATAGTCACTAGATCTTCACTTATGATAGATTGTAATGTCTGCATGTTAGAATTATTCCAGGTTACACTGGTGTCATCAGCAAATAAAGTAATTCTACCACTTATTCTTAAGTCTGTGATGTCGTTGATGAATAATAAAAACAAAATTGGACCTAATACTGATCCTTGAGGTACTCCACTGCTTATTGCTAGATTTGTAGAATCCTCACCATTCGCCCGCACCTGTTGATTTCTATTTTCTAGGTAAGTTTTAAACCATTGTAAAGGAGAACCCCGTATGCCATAAATTTGTAACTTATTAATTAAAATATCATGATTTACACAATCGAAGGCCTTTGCGAAGTCACAAAATACTGAAGCGGTGAAAAGTTTATCATTAAGTGATGTGTATATTTCATTAAGAACGGAAAACATTGCGTCGCTAGTGCATTTTTAAGGTAGAAAGCCATACTGATGAGCTGTGAGGATGTTATGCTTGAAAAGAAAGGGCAAAAGACGGTTTTTCATTAGCCGTTCTACTATCTTCGATAAGGTAGGCAATAACGCGATAGGTCTATAGTTACAGGTTTTGGTTTTGTCGCCACCTTTATGAAGTGGGATTATTATAGCTGTTTTTAGACAGTTAGGAAAGAGACCAATTTCAAAGGATTCATTAATCAGTGAAGTTAAAATGTTGATTACTACATCCGGTATATTTAGAAATATTTTGGTGGACAGGCCATCAATTCCACAGGAAAATTTATTTTGGATGTTGTTTATGGTTTGCACTAGTTCATGCTTGTCTACTGGTCTTAGGAAGAAACTTTCAGTGATCCTTTTAGTAGGTAGGAGGAAGGAGAGAGCATCCTGACTCGGAGCTATGTTAGATTTGATATTTTTACTTACATTTACGAAATAATTGTTTAGTTCATCTGGGCTAGGATTTACACTGTTTGAAGAACGGGTTTTATTCCTTAAGTCATTTATTATAGACCAGGTTTCTTTGGAGGAGTTTTTAGCTCTTGCGATGCGATTTTTTGTGTCAGGGTTTGTTGAATCTAATTAATTTATAATTATGAATTATTACGATCTACATAATATTACTTACCCCAACTTTAACTTTATACTTACACTGCTTATATCTCAGGCTACTAAATGAAACTAACACTTTCAGCTCTGAATTCTTATTAAAAAACTGCAGTATTATTCCTAGAGGCCAGACGACCGACAGGAACTAGGAAATATAGTTAGGGCGTACGGCGCTTAATAATAAAATAAAATATGCAATAAACCGGGGCCTAAAGAAGTTATAGATAATATAATAATACATTATATAAATTATTTATTACGATATTATTACCTACTGTGATTAATCTTAATGGCAGGTTGATGTCAATATCGGACCTCTGTTTTATTTTATACAATTGTTAATTTGTAATGGATTTCCTATGTCTGATGATGGACACATGGGCTGAAACTAAAACTTTTTTGTTTTAATCAATTTTAATATTTTTATTTCTACCAAAGTTGTATATCGACCCTACGCATCTGGAATAGCCTCGTTTTTATTGTAAATACGAATTTTATTACGTGAATAGCCTTAACCTCAAGAAATAATTCTGATCTATCAGTGTGTATTAAAGATATAGATTAAAGAAAAGCAAGGTTAATTGTAGGGGGAAATGATTTATTGGCGTGACGAATTTTTATTTGGCCAAAAGTACCGAAATTAAAGGTTACCTTTATAAAATTATCAATAATAGTAGACTGTAGATATTGGACTTAATCACTTGAAATAAAAAGCATAATAATATACATATAATTCCATTATTTATTTTTGTTGAAGAAAACTGGGTTAGTGGGGGTAGTAAGCAAATTTCAAAAATAAAATACGTATGAATGACAACATTATTGGCCAATAATCTGCTAATTATTGAGGCTGATGAATAAATTTGCTTGTCCCACGTTTTAACACTTTTCTTCACGTTTCCGATCATTCCTAAAACAAAAAAAATTGGTCCGGTCGTCTGTGCGTATTTATGTAGTAACGATAACTCTATAATTTAGAAAAAATCAAAGACGTGCCGTTTATTTTTCATCCAAATATTCAATAGCATACCTACGTGGACGACACTGGTGGAAGTAGAAACTTAATTTTTCTCCCAAAATATTAAAAATAGTTTCAATGAACTTGAGAAAAAAAAGTCTTTAGTTTTTATTTTTTACGCAAAAACTGTGCGTCGTACGAAAGTAAGTCTATGAAACGAATATGCTCCAAAATAAATGTGAATTTCAAAAATAATTTTGTTTTTTAGAAAAACCAGTAGCGTGCTATTTTTTTTCTTCAAAAATATTTAGTTCCAACCCCGTACGGACGTCACTGGACAAAATTTGAATTACCTTTTAAGTGAAATAATGCTCCATGATGATTAAAAGGTTTGTACAAAATTTTATAAAAATATCTGGAGTCGTAAGAAAATTATGTTAAAAAAATTATTTTTTTCTTAAAACTGTAACACCCTGTAACTCAAAAATTAAGTGGTTTACGACATATGATGTTAACTTCAATCGTTTGTCGTCTTTTCTTTTTTAAAACTGTATCTGTAACATGTGGAGGGTGGGTTACTCCCACGGCACCTAGACCCCATTAGGCCCATTGTGCATCCTCCTAAGATGATAAGCACCTCCTAGCTCGTGAGCCAGCCTACAGATTTAATGTAGTTGACAACATCGCCAAGAGGCGCTTCTCTTATATCGGCCGGTGTTAGCCGATACTCGCTGAACACAAATCTTCTGTAACCTACCGCACCCAGGTACCATAATCATTTATTAATTCCATTTTATTAAAAAAAGTTGCATTCTTATTAAATACCAAATTCTTCATTTAACAAAAATCTCCCAGATAAATCAATCTTATTTACGACACCTAATAAATAATATCTATAAAAGATCCAAGTGTCTGGGAACGCAATCTAAAACCACCATTCAACATAAGTTACCACGAAGTAATAATCATTAAAACTCTTAACGCACTTATCTTAAGTCAGTTTTGAATAGGAACGTTGTTTCGATACACAAACTTTCCAAGGCAAGTAATAAATCAGCCACCCCCCTATCCATCTAAATTTGTATTTTCTATGAGAAACAAAACGATAGAGACGTCACAAAAACGATTAAACTGTGTATAAAAGCCAGAGTTAAATGAGCTCAGATTCGTTCAATTTTTGTCATTTGATGTGCAAACATACATTTGTTATTTTACATTCAAAGCAATTACCTTACTGTCAGTACCCAGTTATACAGTCTGTACCTTTCCTAAACGACGTCTATCCCACAATACCTCCTATTTCCCAAAGGTGTCAACGTCTCGACGCCCAACGCCTCTCCGTTCTACTTCCCTACCTTTCGACGTCCCAACGATATCACTTCTAACACCACTTAGTATTTCCTACCATTATATTCATCCCGACGCCCAACGTCTCGACGTCATCTCTTTATCCGACGTCCCCATCCGTCGCTCAATATCTCATCCGACGCCCTACGTCCTTACTTATCTACCTTCCTGCGTTTGGCGTTCTGCGTCACGACGCTCCTTCTCCGCCCCGCCATTCTAAATTTCGACGCCAACGTCTCAACGTCCCTGCTAATTATCCAGAATACAAAAATATAAAATGTCTGAAATAAAAACAGACGATAATATAAACCCAACGGCCTGTTTATCCGATGGTGAGTTAATAACAACCAAATTAAATTTGTAAAAATGGGAATTTATTGTTGAATAATAATGAGTATTATTGTGTAACTCATTATTATTCAATAATGGTAAATCTTTACCTTTGAGGAATTTATTGCTAGCCGACGTCGCATTTAGCTCGTCCAGATGTGTATGCTATAGGCCATATTGCCTTCAAATTAATATATCACCGTAAAAGATAATAAGAGTCTGGTTACCGAACTGTCAATGAACCCTCGCAAATAACAGCTCAGCTGATTGGGGTAAATGACACATCGGACGACTAGACTCACATTTATCCGAATATGCATTTTTTTTTTAAATAAGTATATATGCATATTGAGTGGATATTTTGTTCTGTTCAATAATGCTTGGAGAACAATAGGTAGAGGTTGATTTTGCCGCATTTAAAATTGGCTACCCATCAATAAAAGACCTAGAAATTTATTCCATTTGGCTGTTTCACACTATATATCTTTCTATCACCTTTCTATCATTCTAGTTATTCACTAAAATATATTAACAAGAATATTATATTTCTTCGAAAAAACACAATAGTACATATTCGAGTCGATAAGTACGACGAGTACACGCTGTTGTTCGAGCTCCTGAAGATTGTGCGATTTACTGTAGAATTCTATCAAAGTTTATAGCGATTTTTATATCATTAAATGCAGAATTATAAATCCCTCAAAGTGATAGTGTCTCAAAATAGTTAGAAATAACAAGTCTAATTTGATATTCGTTTCTAATATAATCGCAATTTATCAAGCAAGTTTTTTTTTTGTCAAGTGAAGTTTTTGTGCCTTAATCTGATAGCCATGGTCAATGACTCGTGTTTAGTGTGCAAAAAATTTGTAAACAGACAGGTGACTAAAGTTCAATGTGCGAAATGCAAGAAAATGGTTCATACCGATTGTTTAAGCCCTGCTATCTCACCTGATGCTTACTGGATGTGCAAAACCTGTAAAAACGATTCTACGGAATCCACGCTAGGTACTCCCGAATTCGAAGCTCTGATGAACAAACTTAGTGGTATTCAAAATGATATAGATCAAGTGAAAAATATCCAAAAAGATATGGCAAAAACTCTCGAACTGTATGCGTCTAAAATTGATGATTTTGCTCACAAGGTAAAGAATATCCCGATTATCGAATCAACAGGTGTTGAAAATAAAATACAAATCGAAAAACTAAAACTCCAAGTTGAGGCAATGGATCAACAGATTCGTTTAAACAACATAATTATAAATGGATTACCAGTGACCAACGAAAATGCAAATAATATTGTAACCAATATTTTCAAATCTTTAAATCTGCCATCCACAAATATGATCGAAACGTGCTATAAAATTGGTCGCAATCAAGCAACAGGCGGCCATCAAACTATTATGGTTAAACTTCTATCGAATGAAAAAAGGCATATGGTCTTTAAGGCATTTAAAACCAAGAAAATATTAAAAGCAAATGAAATAGGATTTACTAACAATGAATCACGTATTTACATCAATGAACATCTAACGCCTCCAACCAGCCAACTTTTTAGCAAAACAAGGGACGTTTGCAAGACAGTAAAAACTAGTTGTTGGACTAAGAATGGGAAAATCTTCGCCAAGAATCCAAATGACTCAAAAATTTTACAAATTACCTCCGATAATGATCTCAACAGCATCTCAACTCAAGCTACTAATTCTAATCAAATCAATACAAATTTTCATATCTAATGTCTAACAGGCCCAATAATAACAGAGACTTGCAACTATATTATCAAAATGTTAGAGGACTAAATTCTAAACTATCCGAGTTTTTTTTATCAACAATTACTTCAGACTATAATTTAGTGGCAATAACCGAAACTTGGCTTCAAGATGGTGTAATAAATTCGGAACTATTCGACGAGAATTATGTAGTGTATCGTCGCGATAGAAACTTAGCCGCATCTTCTTGTTCAAGAGGAGGAGGAGTATTATTGGGCATTCATAAATCTTTCAGTGTCATTGAATTGGATCTCATTAATTTTTATACAAGTGTACCCAAAATTGACATTGTAGGGTGTAAAGTGAAGGTTGATCATATAATTCTTTATGTTTTTGTTGTGTATATTCCACCAAATACCTCAGTATCTGATTATGAAATGTTCTTCGAAAATTTTGAGTTCCTAAATTACTTACACGGTAATAAAGTGCTTATAGTTGGTGATTTTAACATACCTCAAATCTATATTGGCGAAGGTCGATTAAATCTCCTAAATAATTCTGTAAGTACGTTTAACTTATTTAGTAACTTATTCGAATTAACACAACATAATAAAACTCGTAATCTAAATAATCATATCTTAGACTTTGTATTATCTAATATTGACTGTAATGTTATAGAAAATGAACTACCATTCGTACCCATTGATCAGCACCACCCTCCCCTTAGTATCGAAATTATTATTGATAATAGCCATCGAACTATTACTTCCTTTAACAATATGAATAAAAAATTTAATTTCAAAAAAGCTAACTTTATTGGTCTATATCGTGAACTTCAATATACCGACTGGTCTACTCTGAATGAGTATCAGTCTGTCAATGAAGCTTGTAATAAATTTTATGATATTCTATATCTAGCAATAAATAAATATGTTCCTGTATCAATTTCATCGCAAGCGACAATTTTCAGCCTGGTATTCATCAGAAATAATTAAAAATATTAAAAAAAATCTCGAATATCTAAAAAATTAAAAAAAAATCAAAATAACGATACTCTAAGGGAGGAATTCTGTAGTCTATGGAAAATAATTAAAACTCAAATAAAAACGGCTTATGAAAAATATATTAAGATAACGGAAGAAAAAATTAAAGAAGAGCCAAAGCAATTTTGGTCATTCATAAAATCCAAGTGGAATGGGTTTAATTCAATCAATACCCTTTTAATAAATAATAAAATAATAAATGACCCTCATGAAATAGTCAATCAATTTGCAAATTTCTTCGAATCAGTATATACCCTACCATCAGATTCCAAGTTCTTACAATCAGAAGACACTAATAACTCTCTTATACATATCAAACATTTATCTGAAAATGACATAAAGACATCTTTAAAAAAACTTAAGCCTCGATTAAACCAGGGACCAGATCAAATACCTAATTTTCTCATAAAAGACTGCTCGGAAATATTTTTAAAGCCTTTACTTTACTTATTTAATCTATCAATCAAATCTTGCTCGTATCCAGACAAATGGAAATTATCAAAAGTTACACCTATATTTAAAAAAGGTAGCATAAACTTGGTAGAAAATTACAGGCCAGTATGTCAAGTTTCAGGGTTTTCAAAGGTCTTTGAGATGGCTGTGTATGAAAAACTGTTTTCACAAGTAAAAAGTTTAATAAACCCTTCACAACATGGGTTTTTTGCGACTAGAAGCACTGTTACCAACCTTACATGTTTTACACAATTTACCTTAGAGTCTTTAGATAATCACAAACAGGTTGATACGATTTACACAGACTTCTCAAAGGCCTTTGATCGACTCGACCACACACTGTTGGTGCATAAACTCAAAAACTTTGGATTCGATCATAACTTAGTTACACTTATCTTTTCATATCTGAGTGGAAGATATCAGAATGTAGAAATTAATGGATACAAATCATATTCTTTTAAATCAACTAGTGGAGCTCCTCAGGGAAGCAATCTTGCACCACTTTTATTCTCTATCTTTATTAATGATATTACGCAATGTATCTCTAGTAATTCTCTCCTATTTGCTGATGATTTAAAAATATATAGGATAATTAACTCAATTGATGACTGTTATCAACTGCAATCTGACATTGATTCTCTAAATAATTGGTGTAACAACAATAGATTGCCTCTAAACATAAGCAAATGTAATATGGTTACATATACTCTAAAAAATACTCCAATATTGTTTGATTACAAAATACAAAACATTAGTACCAACCGTCTTGTTAATTTCAAAGATCTAGGGGTCAATTTTAATTCAAAATTTTCATTCAACAAACATATTGCTGATATATCTGCTGGGGCGTCAAAAATGTTAGGCTTTATTTACCGTTCTTGCAAAAATTTCAAAAATATTGATACCATCAAACTATTGTATTACAGCTATGTTAGATCAAAACTGGAATATTGTTCGATAATTTGGAATCCTTTTTATGCAGTTCAAATCCAGCAACTCGAAAATATACAACGGAAATTTGCAAAATATCTTATGTTAAAAAATGATGGGCTTTATCCTCCCCGTGGATACAATAACTCGCAGTTATTGAGTAAATTTGATTTACCAACGCTATTAGAGAGATCTTATTTAATGTTAATATTTTTGTATAAGTTGCTAAATAATAGAATTGACTGCTCGGAAATATTAAATAAAATATGCTGGCGTATTCCGAACAAGAACACTAGATTAAGAACATTATTTTATCTCAACCAAAGTAATACCAATCTTATGTTAAAATCACCAATCTACAACATGTGTGAAACATATAATAATCTTGCTTACCCAAATTCATTAATTGTACTCGTCAATCATTGTTTTAATCATTGTTTCAATTTCATTGTTTTATAAATAATTTTTTCAATCATTGTTTTAATTGTATTGAAACAACATTGTTTACTTTATTTATAATTTATATAGATACTTTAATTATATGTTAATTGCATTGTCTTGTAAATGGGACTACCTGTTAGACAATAAAGCTTATTATTATTATTATTGTTACTACAGAGTTGGACTATCTTAGATAATTATCTCTCAATCTTCGCACCGTAGGTAGATCTGAACATAAGCGGTAGTTCGCTATTATTGCTCTGGCTCTATTCTAGTAAGACTACATCTACATAAAACCCCCCCTAGGTGAGGCTGAAACATAAGGGATATCCGCCTGTTATTGCAACGACGGTATTTCAGTAAGCGCACCTATATAAAAAAGAAAACAACGAAACAAAGAATTATTAAAGATAGTGCAATTCTGAGGACGTCTGCTGTCTATTCTCAAGAATTGTTTTATTACAAATATTTGATGGCAAGTGGCCTGTTGTTTGGGCGAGACACATGTGAGGTCTACTTTATATTAAAATAATCTGTACATATTTATTTTATTGGAGACCAAGAAAATAAATTAAGTTAAATATACTTTCAGCATTATTTCATTCACAAATTTGTACCAAACTTTGCATCGAATCCTGGTTTATTTTAATTAACATTATCACAACGTGAGTATATAAGTTATCAATTAATTAACTAGACGATTACTACACTACTAGAGGAAAAAACCATATAGAGTAAGTATGAATTTCTTTGAATTTCACAAGAGGAGGGAGGTAGTTAAATTAAAATACGGGCTTTTAATAATTATCTACAAGACCGGGGGGTGGGAGGTCACACTTCTAATAAATTTCGCGCATGATAATACACTTTTCCACCTTTGGAAAGTATATTTAGACTAGTCCGTTGGACTTTTCCATGCCGCCCATCACCAATTTATATGCAACAAATTAAAATAAAACAGTATTTGAATGAATTTCACAAAGTGAGATTTATTTCAGATTAACAATACAAACTTGTAAATATCAGTTATGTATCACAATTTCGACATTTCAATACGGATTGTGTCATTCGTATTGCAAGTCCGATGTATTATAGATAAAACATGTATACAAAGTTCCTTACTTTCCAACAGAATCAACACATTATATTTTTATCATTGAAAATGGTACCAATATTGAAAAACGGAAATTTTTCTGTGGATTGAAACTGTTTGTATACATTTACAATAATTATTATTGCTGCATCAGTGGAATGTATAAACGATTACAAAAAAATGTATATGTGTAAAAACGAGTTGCATATTGTAAGTTTATCTTTGATTTAGTAAGAATCATCAGTTGGAAAAATATAGTGAGCTAGTAAAATATGAATTTCGAGATCAGTAGACATTAGTAAAACTAATAGGGAAACATTTTAGAAAAATTAATATTTGAATACATTACTGAGATCGGTATTACTTATATTTCGGTAAATTCATTATAAACCTTTCATAATTATGGTATTAACAAATTTCTATAGATTTCTAAAGTCTTTAATACGACATTTCAGCACTTTCTTACTCTTACTACCTCAAAGGCAAATTTTTCGTTTATACTAACAGTGGCTAAGAAATGCAACTTAAATACAATAATAAGCTTAAACATATATATAGAATTGTCTGTGTTGCTGACATTCGATAAAAGCACCTTATTATAAATTCGTGCATAACAATAACAGATATAATACTTTTTTCACAAATACTTTAAATCTCTAAGTGTTCATTTTGTAATATTACTATATATATTGAATAAATTTTACTTAAAAAACAACAATTTAGTTAATAGTAAAATTTCGTGATACATTTTAGAATGTTAGTACCAATAACTGTTGATATAGTTCATTAAATTATTTAGGAAAACCGTTATAGTATAAATGATGGAGTAGTTTAAATGTACATGTCAGTAAAATCAATTAGACACTCTTAATAGTCATAAAGAACATAACACCTAACTGTTTACCAACATATCACAAGCGAATAGTTCAAATGTACCTTTTAACAATACTTACCACACACTTATTATTTATAAAGAACGTTTCCAAAGTATTTTTGAGACATCTAAATGTTTTCCAGCCAATTATAAGCAAGTAGTTCAAATGTACCTTTCAGCAACATCTACCAGACACTCTTAATAATCATAAAGAACGTTCTCAGAGTACTTTTATACACCTGAATGTCTTACAGCAAGTTATAAGAACATCAAATGTACCTTCCAGAAAAATCTACCACTCAATATTCATAAAAAAGTTCTCAAGAGTATTTTTGGGGCGCCCTAATGCTTCTCAGTAAGTTGCTAGCAAGTAGTTCAAATGTACCTTTTAACAACGTCTATCACAAACTTAATATTCATAAAGAACGTTTTCAAAGTATTTCTGAGACACCTAAATGTTTTCCAGCAAGTTATAAAGGAGTAGTTAAAATATACCTTCCAGCAAAATCTACCACACTTTTAATATTCCTAAAGAACGTTTTGAAAGTATGTGTTTAATATCCACAAGAAATGTACTCAGTTTTTTTGCTAAATATGAATTCTTCCCATCAAGAAGGTAATTCGATGTTCCTTTTGGCAAAATCAACCAGATATTTTTTTGGAGACATATTGGTGTTTTCTAGCACGTTTTAAGTGGGTAGTTCAAATGTACTAGTCGGTAAACTCAACCAGGCACGTTTGAAACTCGCAAAAAACGTTTCTAGTTTTTTAATGCATCTAAATTATTTCCATAAAGTTTAAATGGAGTAGTTCAAATGTTTCTTTAGTCAAAATTAACCAGATGCATTTTGTATTCACAGGAACGTCCATATAGTAATTTTGGAAGTATCTAGTAGTTTAATAACGTTTTAAGTGAGTAGTTTAAATGTACCACTCGATAAAATCAACTTAGAAAGCTGCTAATAAAATTACGGGACTACAGTGTACTTTCAAGTCAAATTAAATATTGAGAAAAAAATTGTTAACTGGACTTTGTAGATCCAGCAAAAATCTACAGGTTTTGTGGGGGTCAATTTTTGAGGTTATGCTAAAAAGTGACCTCTACAAAAGTTGTAGATTTCTGCTTAATCTACAACGTTTTTGTTTTTGACTAATACCAGTTTTTATCCCTTTTCAACTGTCTAAAACTTTGAACCCCCCAGGTTGCATTTATTTTTTTTTTACTTATTACAATCCTCTCTACCATTTACACTTATCAAAATCCAGTTAACTTTCCTTTGGTTCTCCTTTTAAATGAGTTAATTTAACTGGTCTATAAACAATAATTAAACTGAAGTTTTAAGCAATATTTATTATTTTAGATTGACAAAATAAGGCTAGTAATATCAAGAATTCAAATTTACTCATAGTGGCTATAGTAGTTTACATTAAAAAATATTTAAAAGCAATAAAATAATTTTTTAATAATAAATATTTTCGATTCTTCTATCCCGAATTTTACCAGCAGCCTTTACATAATTTAATAAAAATGAACACTTTTACAAAAAATGAATTCTGTAGATATATTTGTTAGTTTTAGAAAAGTCAATAATGCATTAAGAAAATAATATTGTGTTATGAAATGTCTGGGATTAGATGTGAGGGTGAAAATTGCTGTTAATTTTTGAATTATATTATTGTCCATGTTGAAAATTTCAAAATACATGATTTAAAAAGAAAAAAAATATAATTTACTTATATTACAAATTTTAATTAGTAGGAATTGGATGAAAATAAAACATTGTAAAATCAAAATAAGAACTAAAAACGATAAAGATAATATTTTAAAACCCTTCAAATTTCCACTATTTCTAAATGCATTATTAAGTCAAATCTAACCAAACCAATATGTATCTTTTTTTTTTATCAAAATAATAAAGCTCAGCGTATTAAGTACTTTCTACCTATTTACTGTAGCTGCCTCTGCAAACTTGGAACTGAAATTCTGAGCACTCTTCTCTTACTTACTTTTCAATTTTATTTTCTTTCTAATGCTTCAAATGAAATTATTTTTCTATTCGTTTTTATGAACTTTACAAAATTTATCGAATAAAAATGTTAAAAAATAAACACATAAAGCAAAAAGTATTTAAGAGAAGTTTTTACAAACAAAATGCGCTTGGAACATAGTAGTTAACTTTTTTTTTTAAGTGACATAAATATATAGTCGATTTGATATAAAATTATCAATTCTTTAGGATACCAGTCCAAATATTACTTCAAGACGTATTAATACGATTGAAATCTTATAACTAACAATGATAAAATTTCATATTAATTCCTAGTTTTAAAATTTCGAGTCAATTCGTTTTTGTAATGAAAATTCATCAGATTATAATTAATTCTCTCCACGAATCGATGAAAAGAAATAAAACTGTAAATAACAATATTAAAATGAAGAAAAACAAATGTTTAATACAAATACTAGACACAAAAGGGGACAAGAGAGTATGATCTAGATAAATGGGGACGATGAATTTTGCCTGGTATTAAAATTAAAAATCTCACAAAAATTGAGACAGAAAAACTTTTTAAATACTGATATTTCTTTACAAATACGAATTTTACATACTCTTGAAATCATTTTTTGTCGCCAACATATTATTTTCTTAAATACCCTGTCTCTAATTATAAAATGTATCTATTGACGTCCACATCTATATCCACTATATAAACAAATAATACATTTCTATATAAAATTTGTATTAGCTAAATTTCGAATTACCTACAATAATTATTATTAAGCGGTCTAACAACATTTTTCTCGAAAACCTTTTATGAAATCAAGAACATTATACATTTTACAAAAAAAAAAAAATAAAATTATTTTAATTTCCTATGTAATACACGTATTTTTATTATAGGGTGGGGCAAAATAAAGAGCAATTTTGAAAAGGAGGTTAAAAGTTATATGTCGTTTGGATGAGGATGCTGTTCAACCTCGATTTGTTAGAACAATCAAACGCAAAGGACAGTATGTCGATTACATTTTTTAAAAGTAAAAATCGGGGGTTATTATCTAATTTTCAGCCGAAAATGCATAGCAACGAAAGCGCCAAGCAATGCTAGAGGATTCTTCTATTCCAAATCCCTCTTTATACTGCAATATTATTCAGTTCTTCTTAATTCCGTATAAGATTTTTGCGGTATATTATATCAGAATTTATATGAATCCAAAACATTTTTAAAGGCATTAATTGTGCTTTTACAAAAAAAAAATATATATACCTACAAGCTACTCTAAATGAGGCAAAATGAATATATTCGCAGTAATACTAAATAAAAAGGCATTTAAAAAAAAACAACAACAGTAACCACCAATATAAAATACTGAAATTGATGCAATTCCATTTTTTCGTCGGGATTTTTTCACTTAAAATATTTATAATACAACGTTTGAATCTTAAAAGTTAAAATGAATAAAATGAGAATGAAGTTAAAATAAAAAATGATTTTACAATACTGCTTTGTACCTTAATATCATAAAAAACTAATAACTAATTTTTTAAAAAAATATTCAAAATCTGTAATAATAATTGGAATGTAACTATACAAAAATGTATGTATAAAATTATTCTGAATATCTTTTTAACACATACATGAACATTAATATAAAAAAAATACGAAGATTAATATTAAAAAAATTACTTTTTGATACGTCGGATTAGTTTTCTGAAAGATGCCGTCCATTTTGTTCTGGTGAGCTTGGCACAGTCGGCTTCGTCCAAAACGGCGTTCGGACAAAACTTTTCTTTTGGCGTTGTCGCATTGCTCTTGTAGTCGGCGCAAATGTCAGATGAAAAACCGGAATCGCTGCCAAATCCTACAAAAAGAAAAACCAAACGATGTTGATAATATTTTAGGGGTGGAATGGAAATGAGTACAAGTAGAACCTCGACCAAACACTATTAGACTAATAAAATAAACAATAATGACAATGAAATGTTCGGAATGTGAAAACATACAAAAAAATGTCCATGATCTGCATGTGATGGATGTAGAAAACTAAATTGCAACCAATGGTCTGAGAATTATCGCCTGAAGAAATCAAATTTCTATAATTACGCACTAAACCTCTGAAATGTCTGTGCAAAGTGTAAGAATTATCAGCTGACTGATTATCTTAGGAAGACTATTGAAGATAAGGTAAAAATAATAAGAAGTAAAGTTGAAGTAATAAATAGTAAAATTAAAATAATAATAAAGATGCTTCAAGAAAAAGTATTAAAAGTAATTTTAAAAAACCGACTTCAAAATCGCGCAGATTCACCACATCTTAACCAAATTTATATGGGACCACTACTGAGGTACCCCCTTATTAACAAAAAAAGAATCATAGATATCGTACAAGGCATTAAAGAATTATCGCTAAACATACAAAAAAAAATTAAAAGTTTGAGGATTTTTCTCATAACCCCAATTATTAGATTTTGACCAAATTTATATTAGAGGCCTCCCCTGAGGTACCTACTTACTAACAAAAAAAGAATTATAGAAATTAGATAAGGTGGTAAATAATTATCATTAAACATACATTAAAAATGAAGAGTTTTACGATTTTATAATGGACCCAATTATTAAATTTCGACCAAATTAATATGGGATCACCCTTGAAGTACCCCCTTTCTAACAAAAAAAGCATCATAGAAATTGGACAAGGTGGTAAAGAAGTATTACTAAACATACATTAAAAATGAGTTTGAGGATTTTCTAATGGACCCAATTATTAAATTTTGACCAAATTTATATGGGACCACCTCTAAAGTACCACCTTACTAACAAAAAAAGAATCATTGAAATTGGACAAGGTGGTAAAGAATTATTACTAAACATACATTAAAAATGAGTTTGAGGATTTTCTAATGGACTCAATTATTAAATTTTGACTAAATTTATATGGGACCACCTCTGAAGTACCACCTTTCTAACAAAAAAAGAATTATAGAAATTGGACAAGGTGGTAAAAAATTATTACTAAACATACATTAAAAATGAGTTTGAGGATTTTCTAATGAACCCAATTATTAAATTTTGACCAAATTTATAAGAGACCACCTCTGAAGTACCACCTTACTAACAAAAAAAGAATCATTGAAATTGGACAAGGTGGTAAAGAATTATCACTAAACATACATTAAAAATTAAGAGTTTTACGATTTTATAATGGACCCAATTATTAAATTTTGACCAAATTTATATGGGACCACCTCTGAAGTACCACCTTACTAACAAAAAAAGAATCATTGAAATTGGACAAGGTGGTAAAGAATTATTACTAAACATACATTAAAAATGAGTTTGAGGATTTTCTAATGGACCCAATTATTAAATTTTGACTAAATTTATATGGGACCACCTCTGAAGTACCACCTTTCTAACAAAAAAAGAATTATAGAAATTGGACAAGGTGGTAAAAAATTATTACTAAACATACATTAAAAATGAGTTTGAGGATTTTCTAATGAACCCAATTATTAAATTTTGACCAAATTTATATGAGACCACCTCTGAAGTACCACCTTACTAACAAAAAAAGAATCATTGAAATTGGACAAGGTGGTAAAGAATTATCACTAAACATACATTAAAAATTAAGAGTTTTACGATTTTATAATGGACCCAATTATTAAATTTTGACCAAATTTATATGGGACCACCTCTGAAGTACCACCTTACTAACAAAAAAGAATCATCGAAATTGGACAAGGTGGTAAAGAACTACTGCTAAATATACATTAAAAATGACGAGTTTGAGGATTTTTTCATAGACCCAATTATTATATTTTGACCAAATTAATATGCCACCATCCCTGAAATGCTCCCTCTCTAACAAAAAAAGAAATCGGACAACATGTTAAAGAATTATCGCTGAACATAAATAAAAAAATATTACGACGAATTGAGGACCTCCTCCTTTTTTGAAATCAGTTAAAAATGAAGAAAAAAAACACGAAGCAAGAAACTGACCGTATTTTTAACTCGCATTTATTTCACACAACATAATAAACTATTTAGAACGTTGACAGCTAAATTATTTTTTTTTTTGTAAGTTTGATACAGATTTGTAGTCATAAAACTTGACTGGGCGCCACAATCAAGTAAAAAAGCACGTGGGTAGAAATAACTTACTTCTAAAACTACTACAATTTCCTCGGCTCAGTCTTTCTTGATCGTCCTTTTCGTCGTCTCTGCCGTAACTGGAAGTGTCCGAGACATCGTCCATATAAGAGATCGACAGCTCAGCAAATGGAACACTTAATGATGAGCAGTCACTTTGTGGTGTACCGTCCATGTGACAGAACCATTCTGAAAGACTTTCGCCCTCTCCGTGGATCGGCGATGGAGGTGGTTTTATCATGTTGCGCATTTCTAGGAAGGGTGCTTGAAGGCAACCAAATAATTTTCGGCTAGAATTAAAAATGGAGTAGTAAGGAAACAATGTACAGCTCCAACACTAGCAAGGATGGTTTAAAAAGTTAGAAAATCGAGATATACTACCCTTAATTGAAACATTGCACATTAGAAGAACATTTAAAATCAAAAGTACAAAAATTATTTATTAATACAGAGTCTTTAATAGTATCTGTATCCCACGTGAATTAGAAAAACAAGAAATTGAATGGAAATTACCTTTTTAGTGACTATTATGACAACATAACTGTCAGTTTGGCAAAATACGTCAATGACATTGTTTTTGTGGTTGAAGTTATGAATTAAATATTCAGCAATAGTAATTTAGTTGCTGAAATAGTTGAATCAATAAATAATGGCCGGTAATGGAATGTGTGAAAAATCCTGTCAATACTTACTCATATTTGCGGCCATTAGGAGACATTTTTCTATAGGTAGTTTTTGTATAAGCACAAACTGAGCACTTTTTCAGTCTACAAGTTGCAAGATGTTGCACAGCCTTTTGAAATTGAGAAGCTAGAGCACTATTCGAATGTTCCATCAACTTTAAGTCTTCCACCTATTAAAATTTATGAATTATAAAACGTGCGGTTATTGCTATAAGTTTTGCTTCAGTAACACAGAAATTATATATTACCTATACAGGGTGTTTTTTAAAAAACTCCTCTTTTAAATTTACCATAACCAAATTTTATCAAATGGAACACCCTGTATATCTTTAGGCCATCTGAAAGATACACTCTCTCCTACTGTTCAAAAATGTATAATTTCTACATGGTATTTTACAAAATACAGGGTGTCCCAATGAAAAGTAACTCGTTTCCAGAGCTTATAACTTATAAGCGCTTAATCGTAGAAACGTACAGGGTGTTTTTTTTTAAATCTCCTCTTTTAAATTCACCGTAACCAAATTTTATCAAATTTATTTTCCAAATTTTTTTTTCATCATGTAGAATTTGTAACATACAGCATCATCTAAATATTCTAAATTATGATTACTGTTATTATCATCGTCATTTAATATTTACTCAATAACTATCAAAAAATACTTAAAGTTACAAAGTTGTAGATACGTTTACGTCAATGCTTTTGATTTAACTACTGTTTTCTTCCAGATTGTACGTTTAACGTATTGTCAACTTCTACGTTTATGTCAGAGATATACGTTTACGTTTCTAACATTGCTTTAACTCTCTAATGATCACTATTTTTAAATTTAAAACGCGTTTACGCAAAAAATATTGCAGGAAATATAAAATTGATAGGAATGATTATAAATTGAGCAAGTAGGTCTGCCATAAACTAATTTATAAAACAAACTTTCATAGACCGTAATTATTAATAAGGAAATCAAACATCCTTTATAGTTGTTTTTTTTTTAATTCAAGAATAAAAATAACTATATATCTATAAAACTACAACTTCAGTTTCATTTAGTGACATATTAATTAGCCCGAAAATTTTTTTTGTCGATTTTATTTAATAAAATTTATATAACCTTAAGTATTTCTTGGAGGTATACGAAAAACTAGAGTAAATTTACATAAAAAATCTCAATTTATAAATAACTATAAAAACAATTAATTAATGACGAATATTTCGTGAATCACAGTTCACAAAAATAATCGTTCAAAGTAACTTTCAATCTCGGTTGCCGATAATGCCTATTGTGGCGCATTATAAAAATTGGATTAATATAAATACCGGAACCTGAAGGCTAGTCACTTCCTTCTTCATGTTGCTTTTTCACAACCACTCGCCGTAACGTATGCACGCCCTTTTTACCTCTATATATAAACACAAGTGGCTTTGTTTGTACGATTTTTTTTTATAAAATTAGCAATACAAAAATTCCTCACAGGTTGTCAATAGATCAAATCAGAGGTCAAACAACAAATCGTTCCAGAAGTCGTGCTATTAAAAATTGCAGAATATCTTTGATAAATAATCCATAAGACAATTTATAATGGTTGGACTTATTCTTGCAATCCATGAAAATCTTATAAATGTGCTTTTTTCGCCTCCTTTGAAAAATATTAACAAAATGTCATTCATTTGGGAAAAGCCGCTTGCAAAAATTGCAAAAGTTATAAACAACACAAAAAAAACAGATAGGGTTTGGTTTTTTGCAAATATCTCAAAAACTATTTGACATTTTTCAAATTTGAAAAAAGATTCAAAAAGAGGAGGAAATTTCCCACCAAAAAGTCATCCACTCGGAACTGTAGGACCAATATTTATAATTTTCCCAGAGGGTTGAAAATGCGGCAAAAAACTGACTCTGGTTTGCGTAAAATTTTAATTATTAAATATTCTTTAAACCTATTAAATATGAACATTATGAATTAAAAAAATTCAGGCGTCTACTGGATAGATGAATGAACAACATTAAAATTCCATAGATTCTGCCTGTCAAATACCTAGGAATCTATACCACTCATTTATTTAAATTTAAAAAATTAAAAATTTAAATTAAAAATTATTAAAATGAGGAATTTCCATTTTTGAGTATAAATATCTCGAAAAGCAATCTCTTTAGGAGTTCCCAACAAGGGTACATGATTTTTTTTATTATTTTAAAACATGTATCTATTAAATGAAAATTTATTTAAAAAACATTTAAAAACCGTAAAAATATAGTCCAAATAAGTTTTTGGACAATGGCGTAAAATTTAGAGAGGATGAAAGTTTATTCAACTAATTGTTTTGCTGATTGGTGTATCCTAGACACCAAAAATGTTTACCGAGTTTAGTAAAAATACTGAGAAATAAAAAAAATATAGTCATTAATAATTTTTGAATTTTTAACTTTAAGGTGAAGTAAACAGTACATTAGGCATCTCTGTGTAGTAAAATAGGTTTCTACTTTAAAGATACCTGAAATATATCCTTCCAAACTTTTTTTTACGCGATTTTTGACCCCAATTTTTCGATTTGTTTAATGTATTTAGTTCGTTAATATTATTACCGCGTTAGAACTTTTAGTATTACCTGTACGTGTTTAAGTATTTATCGTTGGTTTGATTCAACTAAATAAATATTGCAAAATATAAATGAAGATAAAGACACTTTATATAAATGATTGTCTCGTACCTAGTTTTTTCAGTAATTCAGATAATTTCAACAATACGCTGAAACGCACTGCGACACATATAACCATATTCGTCAAAGTAGGTTCTAAGTAGTGTTATTTTAATTTTTATTTATCTTATATCAAATTGGCAAATTCTAAATAACATCCGCATTTTTCCTGTTCCATCTATCACACCGTAATTAATTATCAAAAAGTATCACATCGTGAAAGCTGGACAATTAATACCCAAAACAGCGAGTTGATGGCCTGATTTGTCGCTACACCATTTTAATATTAAGTGTATTGCATTCTGCGATTTCAAAATCGATGCAAAGTTGCCAAGTCTACAAATTTTCTTCCAAGAAAAATATTATTTACCATACGTCTATATAATCAAACAGATTTGAGATGATTAAGGCAATCTCTTACAACTCAATAAATAAATGAAAGGTACTTCGGCGTCTGTTGCGTAATTTATTAGATAATACTTGTTAATATTATACACGCCTAAATTTATAATAATTAATTAAAGTTCTAAAATTAATTTTCTTTTACAATGAAAATTCAGCAGAATAGTGCATGTGGGTATGAAATAAATTATAGGTATGACAGGAATAACCACGTAGAATAGGGAAGAGGACAAATAAATTTAAAATAGTAATTATAGAAAATACAAAAGACGGGAAAGAATTAATTATACAAATAATGAGAGATGTGGCAATGGGAATAATAGAAATGGAAATTGGAATAATAGAAGATATGAGACATCAGGAGGGAAATACAGTAAAATGAACAATGTACAAGCAAGAAAATCTTGTAAGAAGCACTTATAAAAATTAAAATTTGCGTATATGAATACCAGAGGGAATTTATAATTTTGTTGGAAAATATAGATCAAAATAAGATTAATTTATTTGAAAGGGAACATAGGGATAAAGGGATACAAATATTAGTAGATACAGGGTCAGAAGTGTCAATTATAAATGAAAAAATAATAAAAGGAAAATGATCTTATAAAGGTACCAAAAACTATTTTGGTAGGTGCAAATGAAAAAAAAAAATATATGAGGTGAATAAATTAGTAATAAAAGAGATTAGATTAGGAAATAATATAAGAATAAAGTAGTAATATCAAATTTAAATAAAAATAATTTGGAGATATTTTATGATAAATTGATAATAGAGTTAAATGCAGAGGTATTGGAGTTTGCAAATAAAAGAACAGAATATGAACGTATAGTGGATGAGAAGGGTGTAATATAGTCGAGGAAACGAGGGAAAATAAAGAAGAGAGAGGTGAAATTGAGTTTGTATGTGATGAAAAATATAAAAGTATAATCAAAGATTTAATAGGAAAGTATAAGAGATGTCATGAAAGAAATGAGAGAATTACATTTTGATAATGGACATGTAGGAGCTAGGAAATTATGGTTAGTGTTCACGGAAAATTATATAGAGAAAGGAGACCAAAGGTTAGCAAAAGAGATAACAATATCATACATGTGAATTTTGAAATACATTGTTCACAGTATATTTTAGAAATATACTGGGGGAACAATTAATTTGGCGATTTGACATAGAAATTTCTGACGTTATCAAAATTTGAATGTGAAGTTTCTGGAAATCAAAATTAAAGTTAAAAATCAAATTGTCGGAAAGGTTTGTTGATTTTTTGGAATTTTTCAGATGAGAAAATAGAAAAGTAAAAAGATTTTAACAAAGTTATATAGATGAATAGTAAAGGAAATTTTAAATTTTTTTTTTTTTAAATAAAATTTCGTATTTATTATTTTTATAAATTTTTAAAGGTGAACCACCCCTTTTGAGAGCCTGGGCAATATTTTAAAAAATTGATTAAACATTTTATATCAGTATATTCTTTACGGTTTTAATATACTAATTTATTTATTTATTTAAAATTATAAACGATTATTTTGTTGATTTTTTTAGAGAAGTTATATTTCAATATTTAGATGAATAGAGAGGGGATATTTTTCAAAAAACAGGGAGCTGATTAAAATTTCAATAGTTGTATATCTGATAACTAAACATTATAATAAAAATGATTAAATTTATATATAATTACTTAATTTGACATCTATAAAACATAAATTCTCCTCGAAAGTAAATAGGGGAGTTATATTTTTTATTATAAGACCTAAATCAAGTAAAAATTCAATTTTTTTTTATTAAAAATCTAAATTTAACCGATATCACGTTAAATCCGGCAACACCTGTACCATAATTTCATAATAAAGCTATTCTAGTCAGCATCGAAAACTAATTGATGATTCAGAAACGTGCGAGCATACATGAACATTTTACATACCTGTTTCTCCATACAATATAGATCATCATTCAGTTGCCTTCCTCGAATTAAGTATTTTCCCAAGCCTCTGCGTTCAGCTTCTAATTCCTCCTTCAGTTGATCATTCTGTATAATTGCACAATTAAGTCATTAAAAATGATAAATTAGCATAGACAGTAATTGTATGTGCTTTCATTTGGTTAATTTTAAACCATGACATAAAAGTGTGTACTGGGTAATTCCAGTAAAAATATTCAAACGATTGATATATCCTTCAAGTCCTTATTAAAATTATTTAAAATGAAATCTGTCTATTTTGTAATAATTTTAACTATAGATTAAGAAAGAAATAATAAAGCTGTCAGTTGTATGTCAAAGGATACAGCCAAAACAATTTAAAATTAAATTAAAAAATTAATGGTTGCACTAACTATAAATCAGTAAAACATTTCTAACTTAACAGTATGTCAAAATACTGAAACTGAGACATTTGAAAAGTAACCAAAAAAATTATTTTAAAGTTAGAAAATTGTTAAATAACTAAATTAGGACCACTAAAACGACGCTAATGTGAAAAAAATCTTAAAATAAATCAGATTTCTGCGCATTTTTGAAATATCTTACCAGATATGCATAATTTGGTCATACAAGGTATTGCTTTCGAGTCGGAAAGAAATGGCCAAATTTTGTTAGGCCGGACCTGGATTTTAATTATATTTTCGTAGAAAATCGATCTGCCAAATTCGAAAGCTTTATATCGAGTGGTGGTTTAGTTTTGACAAAATAAAATTGATACAACATCGATGATTTAGGTAATGAGATACATATGCTAGACCTATTAATAATAAGTGATTTCAAATCTTTCAAATGTTCCATACCCTACAATTAACATATGTATGATTATTTTTCGCGAGCAAACATATTTTTAAATTATATAATACTATATAGACGAACACATTCGTATCTAATTGTATCACCCTGAAAATAGGCCTGAGGTTTAATTTTTAATAGCATATACCGCGCTTTCTCCTTGACATTAATGTGTTCTATTGTGGGACTTAAAAATTACTTGAGAAATGAGATTTAAAAAATAAAACTGATTGTTTTTTTTTTCTAGAATTTGAAAAGGACGAATCAAAAAATTAAAAAACGATTTAAGAACGATCTTTGGTTTTCAATTTTAAGAGCAAACTGAACACCTGAAAATTAATAATTGCTTCCGAGCCTTTATTTTTAGTCTGATTTTTGTGAAAATTTCGGGAAATACCAATAATAACAAAACCTAGGGTATATAAACCTTAAATTTTTTGTAAACCTTCGAAATGTATTTATTTTCAAGTTTTAAAAAATATGTATTAAATCTATATTCTGGTTCAAAAGTGCCATTTAGTCATAAACCTAGGCTGGACCACCGAAAATTATGATAATAATAGAGGTCCAACAAAAATTTCAAAAATTATAAACAATAACGCAAAAAAAAATGGTTTGGTTTTTTGAAAATATTTCAAAAACTATTCGAGAAAATAAAAATTTGAATATTTTGCATTTTTATGAACTTAAACGACGCAACAATCTTTTGTAACTAAAAACAATAATTTAATTATTGGCAAACATGAGAAATTCTCACATTTTCAAAAAATAATCGCAAATTAATTTAAATAATAAAAAGCAATGTGTCAGAGGTCACTTTGTAAAATAGAAACTAACCATATTTATAAGAATAAATAAACAAAAAAGTTGACTTTATTTGCATAAGAGTTTGACTGTATTGGATTAAACCAGTTTTCGAGATCGGTAAACAAAAGCTGATATAATAGGATTTTTACAATAAAAAAATTAAATATTGAAAGAGAAAACGATGACAATTTCGCAATCAAAAAATATATATTTTTGTGCATTTTTCGTTTTTTATTTCAGCCAATTTTTATTTGAATTTCCAGTTTGATCTGCGATTATTGATGATTTCTTTAAATACTCTTTAAAAACGAACTGGTTAATGAAGATTTTAAAATGCATAATTATGCAATTATTTTGCATCATTTCAAGTAATTGCTACTTAATCCCGAATGAAAATTTTAAAAGTGTATAGTTCTCTTTTTTGGATGTATTAGAGTTGCTATATTTACGAAACCAATAACTTTTAGTCATAAATACGATGAAAAACCTTCTTTTTTCCTTCTTAATATACATAATACAGGATATAGACAAAAATACTTAACATGATAAATAAAAATAAATAAGATTAGATTAGGTTGAAAATAAAAACAGTTGTAAAAACTCACCTCTCTTTCCAAAGTATCTTTCTCGTTCTTGATTCTTGTCATATGAGTAACAACTTCTTGTCGAGCCTTTTCCAATTTTCTTCTATTATATTCCGATTCATTCGCTTGAACATGAAGCTGGAATTAAAAAAAAAGTTTATTGTATTATTTTTAAATTTTATTTTAATTCCTCACCATTCTCAAGGCTTTATCTCTCTCCTTTACTATCAGTTCCTTTTTCTCCTCGCATTTTTCTTTTTCGGCTCTTATCTGAAAAATTACAAAAAAAAATGGTTTTTACCAGTAATGAAAATATTTATTTAATAAAAAGTATTTTAAATACTTGAAATTACACATTTAAGTTATGTTTAAAATCCTTTTAAATTCATAAATATGCTACAAAAAATGTATTGAAACAATTTTAGAGCGATATTAAGTGTTAAACAAAATATTGAATCATCCCATTTATGAAATCACTAAAAATATATTTTTTTGTTACAAAGAATATTCTTATATTTATTACTTATTAACAATCGTTATTATTCACATGTTTTTTAATTAAATATTCATACACCTGATCTAAAAAACCAGCCATTACCCAAATGAATAAGTAATAATCAAAAAGTTTTGGATTAAACATAAAAATAAAATACGATATATCAAATATCCGTAAGAAAACTTCTGATGAATGTCTTTATTTCTGGTAAAAATTTAAGTTTAGATATGAGACAGTGTGTAGAGGGATATAATTCCACATACTTTTTATCCCACTACTCTTCTTCACTTCGCCCCAACAGGGCCGACTAGAGGGGGGTAGCCGGGACTAATTCCCGGAGCCCGGGTTCAAAAAGGGGGCCGGCAGCGGTACCCAGCAAACATTTTCTATAACATTAGTTATAACTCGACTTTGTTAAAGACGAATTTACTTATTGAGGTAATTATTACGTAAAATTGACTAGAAAAATATACCTCTAATGTAAATTTACCAAACGGTTTTAATTTATATTTAAATTTACGTAAATTATACCAAGAAATCTACCTTTTACACAAATCTGCTTAAAAGTAACTTTAACCATATTAGCAAGGGAAAAACTACTAAAAAAAATAACCAACAATTACTTCAAAGTTAAATTTCCTTTGTAGTAAAATTAGGTGCCATATTTAGGTAATATCTACCTGTTTGGCAACTAAAAATCGTCTTTATAGTAGAATATCCAACTAGGTAGATTTGGTTAAAAATTCTACGTAATGTTATGCCTCCATAGTAACTTATTTGGCCGCTTTTATTTACTCTCCTTTAAAGTAATATTAGGTCGACATCGTAGCAAAATTCTACCTGTTTATCTACCTAATTTCAACCAAATAGTCGATTACTCATTTAGTTGACCTATAAGTCATCTTGAAGAAATATTTATTAACTTTGATGTAACAATTACCTGAAAAATCTACCACAAAGTAAATTCGACTAAAATCCACCAATTTAAAAAGAGTCATACATGACCTATTTGTAAAATTTATATTATTTAGGTTATTTTAACAATTAGGTTGTTCAGTTACTGTCTTCGTCATTACTCTTAAGAATTTCAGCCATTTAAAAAAACCATTAGAGTCGTAATCTTAATTTACGTGTGGTGTAGATAGAGCTTTAAATGAGTGCGAAAAATAATTAATAAAATGAGTTCGAAAAATAATAAATCATATCGTTATACTTCCGATTTTTATCGTAAAGTGAAACGTCTAAAATCTCAAGTGCAGAACAACGTGACCTAAATATAGGTAAATTTTTTATAAAACCTATAAGTTATTATTTCTTTAAATAGGTAAAGTTAACTAATATGTCGTGAAATTGAAGTTAATTCAACTTAGTAAAAAGGTATTTGTAAAATACGTAATTTCCTTAGTCATAATAACTTTTAGGTCGAATTCGCACAATACGCCATATTTTCTTAACGTAATTGAAGTACGATTCCAAATTTTAAATTTTTAAAATGACCATAACTAAAACATACGAATGAAAATACCGAAAAACGAAACATTATTGATTTTCTAAAGTGATACACAACAAACGTAACATAGTTTTAGCTCATAATATTATTATTATTTTTTTACACGATCATATTTTTTTCTTATATTTTTTTAAATAGAGAGTATTTTGGAAGGGCATTGTTATTTTTCTAAGTAGAACTGTTAACATGCATGACAAAATTTTCTTCGCATTAATTTCAACAAGCGTGAACTGTATATTTACTGCAATTACATTACATATATTTTTGTCACCGACATTTATTTATTTTCAATCTTTCATGTGAATTAGGTATATGTTTTAGTTGTGTTGGTGACTTCTTACAATATTTCTACTCATATATAGATAAAAATACCAAATAAGTATAAAATTTATTTTCGTACACTTGGAGGCATACGTCATCTGCAAATATTTTGGTAGTTTCTACCTAAACTTAGTTAAATCAACGTCGAATTAACGTTATACTGACGTCAAATTTCCTTAGAGAGGTAATACTAACCAAACGTACTGTACTACTACAATGTGGATTTTGATGTAATTCTACCTATTTTGGTAAATAAAACCAAATTTCGACGTCGTCTTATTCTCCACTTATGTCGAATCCACGTCGAGCCAACGTAAATTTTGCTTAATTATGGTTAAATCTAATTTTGCGACCAAATTTATTATACAGGGTGTATATAATTTAGGTAGTATCGACGTCAAATTACACCAAAATGTTTGCTGGGTATAAGGGGGGGCCGGCAGCAGTATAAAGGAGGCACGGCAGCGGTGGTGTTTGTTATCGACACAAGATGGGGGAAGTTCTTACTTGAAGACTTTTTTTTTTTTTTTTTTTTTTTTTTTTGAGAAATTTAAGTAGAGGAGAAATTTTTGCTTGAGGACTTTTTGTTATTTCATTTTTTATAAAATTGTCGCAGAGCCTGGTTTGGTTCTTGGCGGCTCTGCGCCCCAAGCTATCCTTACGTCCAAATTTTCAATGACATTCTACTTAAGTTGGAACCATATGGAAAACATTTTTATTATTGATTTTAGGAAAAAAGTTATTCTTGATAAAAAGTCCTGCATGACCCAAAACTTAAAATACAGTCATTTTTCAAGCCGTATACGAGATTTGTCAAAAAATATGAATTTTGCCCAAGAGTAAAGTACGTTTATTTTTTTTTTACAAAATCGAAAATTTTCGTTAAGAAATTTGCTAAATTCTTCACAAACATCAACAAAAGGAAAGCGTATCATGTTTATGGTAGCTAACGTAATTTATAACGTTTTCAGATATTTACAATCAATGTGTAGAGTGTAGAGTTTATAAAAAATAAGAAAATCTGTTTTTCAGATAGATCGGTGTAATTGCATATTTGAATGTAATATTCAATTCTAATCAACTTTTATTAATGAAAATTTTCGATTTTGTCAAAAATAAACGTACTTTACTCTTGAGCAAAATTCATATTTTTTGACAAATCTCGTATACGGCTTGAAAAATTTGATATCTGATGACTGTATTTTAAGTTTTGGGTCATGCAGGACTTTTTATCAAGAATAACTTTTTTTCCTAAAATCAATAATAAAAATGTTTTCCATATGGTTCCAACTTAAGTAGACACACTGTATAAGGGTCTTCAGATCAATTTATAACCGCGCCGTAACGTAACTTATGAACTTAACGTAAGAAATTGAAATATTTAATTTACGTATACTTATTTATAAATGTTCGTAACGTAACTTAAGACTTAACGTACCGTAGAAAGTTCACCAACTTTTAAACTTAACTTAAGTGTGAAATTTAAATATAAATACACGTTAAAATAGGTTAGTTTTTGAAATATTTTAATTTAAATTTGACAGAATATTTAATTCACTACTCAATCCTACTTATGAATGAAACATATGTAGAATTACATAATCCCAATGCAATGTTTCGTACTCCAAAAATTTAACCAGTACTGTGAATAAAAATTAAGCATTTGCTTTTACTTAAAAATTGGTAACAAATTGTGCTTACTTTCCAATAAATACAATTTTTAGATAGAATTTGGGAATGCGAATTATTTCATAAAGACTCTAAGAATTAAGTATTCAACATTTTTATTTTTTTCTTAAAAAGCACGATTTGTTACTCATTTTTAAGTAAAAACAATTACTTATTTTCATTCACACTACCAAACATTCCAGCTGAAATACCCGGTGTACATATATCGATTTATCAATAAAAAATAACACAATTAATTAAGTATAAAAATATAAGCATAGGAGTGGCAACATATTGCGTGAGATTCTTTCATCATTTAACAAAGGATTTTCTCTACACATACTCGTAGAAGAGACTAATTTAATTTTAGAAGGAAATGTTCAACCAAATGAAAAATAAATTATTATCTATGAAATAATTTGTTTATTATGTTATAAAATACATTAGTACCCGTTTCATATTATTATAAAATAATCATAGCGAGTTTTAAAGCAAGATACTGCGTTTTAATTACAAAATCTAAATCTTTTTAATCCAAAAAAATCAACAAACGAAAGTCAAAATTTACGGCGTAATCAATCTGAAAATATTATCAAAAAAGTTCTTATTAAAGAGAAAAAAAAATGAATTACAATAGATTTTTTATGAAAATTGATTTATCCAAAATGTTTCCCCCAAAAAACTATTTGTCTGAAACTCTTTTTTATAAAAAAACGTATTTTCGCCGGTATTTAATTGTAAAACTTAATTTAAACACCCGGTATATATAGATTAAACACCGACTAGACGTAAAATTTGGTCGGACGGTGGACTGCAATTCAAATTAGGAATCATGATTTTTTTCGACGAATTTTTACGTTTTGAGGTCCCCTGGAAACCGTTTGGACTGTGTGTATGTCTGTATCCACCATAACTCATGAACCGATACAAAGAAAAACACCAAATTTTAAACTTTATTCCGGCGCCCAATGAACTGATTAGATTTTGGGCAGAGTCGGAACATCTAGGGGGGGTACTTTATGGGTGGTAATTTTTATATTTTATGGAATATATCTGTTATTTACGTTTGGGGAAGAAAATTCTTTAAATAAAAGTTACTTCTTATATTATTATCTATAATTTTTATTCTATACAAAATTTTCCTAAAATGGTCCGTAGTCGAGAAATTTGACAAAATGTAAAAAAAATAAATTTTTTATATAAATTGTTCAAATAAAAGTTGTTTGTAATATAATTCTCTATAATTTTTATACTATACATAATTTCTCTAAAATGGACCGTATTCGAGATTTTGGGAAAATGTATAAATTTCGAATTTTGAAGAAAACTCAAAAACGGATGAAGAAAAAAACATTAAATTTTAAACTTAAGTTTTATTTCGGCCTGACGTAAAATGATTAGATTTTGGACAAAGTCGGAACATCTGGGGGGGTACTTTATGGGAGGCCGTTTTTATATTTTATGGAATATATCTGTTATTTATGTTTGGAGAAGAAAATTGTTCAAATAAAAGTTACTTCTAATATTATTATCTATAATTTTTTGTTGTCAAATTTTCCTCAAATGGTCCGTATTCGAGAAATTTGACAAAATGTGCAAAATTCTGATTTTTATGAAAATTGTTGAACTAAAAGTTGTTTGCGATATCGATCTCTATAATTTTTGTTTTTACATGATTTTTCTAAAATAGACTGTAATGGAAAAATTGTAGTAAAAGTGCTAAATTTTAATTTTTCAGTATTTTCGTTTTCAATGAATATTTATAGAAAAATGTTTTGAGATAGATGTAGATGGAAAATGTATATATTTAGTTTATCCTCTAAACATTTATAGAGGTGCTGCAATAGGTTGTACAAAATAACCGAAAAAAGCCTATAATAACTAGATAGGAAAGTCATGTGTTGGACACATCAAATTTTTTCATTATAAAAAACGAAAAAGTTGTGACCTTAATTTCCTCAAAAGATAATTATTTGTGTTTATTTAATATATCTAACAAAAAATTAAAACAGTGGGACTATTGTTAGTACTAATAGTGCGCAATATTTGCAGGCTATAAAAAAATAAGTAGTACCAATTTAAATAAAGGATGAACAGGTTACTTAGAGGTAAATGATCTTGTACAAGTTTCTTGTAATGAATACAAATTTTACAAATTCCATGACATCATTCTGAATCACCTTTATTTATGATGTCTGACAATAATTTAAATATAAATAATTACAACAAAATTTTATTTAAATTAGCAGGTTTCTTTGAGGTTCACAGTTTGAAATAGGATATTTAACCAGTTATCCTTCAAATTTAAAAAAAAAATGTTACATATCTGCATAAATTAAAAAAAAACACCTGTAGGTATATTGGCGCAGATGTATATAAATATTTTTGTCAGGGCTCTAATTTTAAACATTGAAAACAAAGTTTATAAATTTGTTGTTGGAAATAGTTTAATAATAATAATTTTTTACATATGTAGTCTGGCAAGATTAAGTTTTCAGTACTGCTTTGCTTGTATTGGAATGAATAGTAAAAGATGTTCATACATGCAGAGGAGAGGAATGGATGTATATTTATCAATCAAATTTACATTCATTAGTTTTGCCAAATTTCTTATCATTATATTTTACATTTATTGTTATTTGATATGAAACAATATAAGTCCTTGGCAAAGTTGACATTAAATGCATTTAAGATTAATTGATATATCTTGCCCACACTGACTTGTTAATATGACATTAAGTAATTGTAGTTAATATCTGTTATACAAACATCATGTACAATAAAATTAGATGTCTGATGACTTTAATTTTCATTTTACCTTTTAATCTTGATTTCCATTTAAACTATCCTACATAGATTTTTAAAAAAATAAGTTATTGACATAATATCCTAAGTCCTATTTAATTCTGGCTTGTGCAATAATATCCAATGCCCTAAAACGCCGTATGAGGAACAAAAATTGCCTAGAATTGTCTTGGTTATAGAGAAATAAAACTTTTAAATGCATAATACTCAAAACTAATAGATGTCTAAATAAAGTAGTCTAAATATTGCAAGATTGTACCTTTACCTTATCACATTGCTCTTCTAGGTAAACAACCCTTTCAAACTGTAAAAAAACTTCATCTTCCTTTTCTCTTAGCAACGATTCATTAGATTCTAATTTTCTTGTTAATTGATCCCGTTGCTTAATGAGATCATCCCTTTCCGTCTAGAAAAAAATAAATTAATAGAAAAGGGGTAAACATATTTAAACATTTATTAATTGTTACCTTAACCTCATGATATTTTTCCTCCAAATAATAAGCTATATTCCTGGCTTCTTCATACTTCTGTGACAAGTGTAAATATTTGTCATAGTGTTTTTTAAATAAAACAAACCTGAAAATTCGTCAAAAAGTTGTTTGTATTAAGATACAGCTAACAGCAAAAAAATATCAGTTGGTTGAACTTTGTCAGTGGAGTAGCATGTTTCAAATGTTACCCCACTGTCTAAACACTAATTTTGAATGTAATTTTTTGTTTTTTAGGCAAATCATGTTTCTTGTTGGGAACTTATAAAGTAAATGGTTTTTGAGATATTTGTATTCAAAAAATAATAATTATTAAAATTAAAATGATTTTTAAATTGCCGTAGGTACGCCTCTGGCAAAGATTAATTAACTGATTTTTTTACTGTTAGAATATAATAAAATTATACTGAGTAATAAAAAATGTATTGTCACTAATAATTTTTCAATTTTAACATCCAGTATTTTGGTAAAGAGCAACATTTTACCTAAGTATATTTCTTTCAATCAGCTCATTTTGAATCTGATCTCCAGTTGGTCTATATCTCATTCTAATGGTATAATGTATTGTTTTTTTGTTGTATGTTTGGACATTAAAATATTTATTTATTATTATTGAGTTGTTACAGGTTATTGCCCAGACCTGAAATATCTAACAATTCATTTTTCTGAAAATCTGATACTTAATTTAAAGTTTTTCAATCCTTATACCTACTAAATTTTATTTTATTAACATTAAAATTGTTTCTTAAAAAGACCTTTAATAAAATTGAATTTCTGAATATTTTGCAATAATATTAGCTGATTTAGCATGTTTTTTAAGAAAGTGTATTTTAATGTGACCTTTTAAGGTTATTTATATTATTTTCTATTCTCTAATATGGTGTATCTCAAAAATGATGAATTTACTGAATATTGATTTGGTTTTACATACATTTGTCCAACTCTATTTCTTTTAATTCTTTATTACACATGTGCTAGGCCTTTTCTTGCTTTTCTTTAGATATAAAATTTTTCAAGTGCATAAAAAATGGATATATAACTAATTTTTTATGATTTAGCTGATTTAGCAAAAAGTTCAGGTAGATTATATAAATCATTCACTATTTTTATTCATTTTTATTTGTTCTTACTCAAAACCCTGTAAAAAAATATCAACGGTATTACAGAAAAACAAAACAATAGTTACATTAAAAATAAGTATGAAAAGGCAAAATCAAAGATGTTTTAAATATAATTAAAGCAAATTAATGTACGTTATTATCACTAAAACCCTAAAATTCAAATTATTAGCAGAATAATACAGCAGAGTTTCATCTGCAAACAGATAGATGGAGCAACCACTTGCAACATGAAAAATATCATTAATATATAGAAGGAACTATAATGGGCCTGATATGCTTCCCTGGGGTGCATCTAATTCATTTTTTTGTTCTTGTTTTCTATTGCCCAGGTAACTTATAACTTTTTAATGAGTTGAGGTCGATTTACTATTTCAAATGCAGCTGTGTTTTCCCCCAAAAGTCTGGTTGATTACTATTATTTTCCAGATATTGAATTAGTTGATTATATATATTACTTTTTCTAAAAAAAATCTACTGTACATAAAATATTAAAAGGATTAAGTCCACTGTCCTATTTGAATTCTCAACCTAAGCTAATGGTGTTATTATTGAAATTTTTAGATTTCCTGGAACTGCATTAGTTTATTATATTTATCAATGCATTAACAATATTTTAGAAATAGTTTTTTAAAAACAGTAAGTACATTAATTTCATCTGGACTTCCTTTATTCGACATATAAAAAACTTTAGAACAAGATTTTGTTTAATTTTGGTGTAAAATTGTTGACCACTTGTTGAGTTTTGGCATTTTAAAGTGATCTGATGCAATAACTTCTTTATTTCAGATGTTGGAGTCTTTAAGTTTTGCACACAAACTCTTCATTTATCATTATAGATAGATATTAGTTTGATTTCAAGAGTTTTCTAGTTTATAGGTGGTGTTTTATTCTGCTTAATTTTAAAAATAGTATCTAAATTTAAAAATGATTAGATTAATACTAATATAGGAAATTAAAAACACTTTGGTTTGACCTTGTAATTTAGTACAAATTCAAGAGTTAAATATATAATTTTTACTTGTAGGTAATAAAATGGTTTTTAATAGTGTTATGATTATTTCAGATCCAGATACCAATAAAACTGATAAAATATTGAAATATTCTAACTTATCTACTTTTTATTTCTTGTCCACTGTTTTGTTTTCTTTTTTTGTTTTATTTTTATGACAAGTTCTTATCTAGGTATATAGTTTTTACATTTAAAAATAGATATAAATTTATTTTATATCAGATTAAATATTTCAACATTTTCATAGTTTGCACTGTTTTTGTAACATTTTATCTTGTTTGCCCAATTTAAAAAAATAATATTTGGTTTATAAGTACTAAATTGCTTTGGCTTGTTTAGAACTTTCCTAGTAATAGATTAAAAAAATATATATATAAAAACCTGTAAAAATCATTTTCAGTGACAATATCTCTGATACTATCTTCGGGATCAACTCGGTCATAGACAGGTATTCTTCTATGAGTCTTTGGCAAAGCAATCTCTTGCTTATCCAAATATTCTGTCGAAGAAGCTGAACCTGTTGTCACATCTAATAAATTTTCTGAACGTCCATGGTGGATCTCTTCAGAAACCGGGATGCTCATAGAGTTCTGCAGAACTAGTTCATCACTTTTACTAGAGGTCAATTCATTGTAAAGTGGTTCATTTTTATTCGCACGATATGTGTCCAAAAAAGATCGAGGAAATGTATCGCCGCGAGGCACTATTAAATCAGTCATTACTGCTTACAATCGAATTTTCACGGATGATCCATTTTTTACAGTAGCACAATGCAATTAAAAACACTCACTAACTAGTTGCATTCGAATAATGAAGGTGAATAAGAAACATATTGTAGTGACAATGTCACAACGTATTAAAAAAAATCACTTTTATTAAAATGTTTAAATCATCGCTAAATTTAAAAGCGAGAATGTTTATGTATTTATCCCGCAAAAGGAAAACGACAAGAGTAAAATGTGACGTGTGACACTGACGAATGACGACAAACCGGACAAACTTCACACATATGATTTTAGAGGGGAAAATAAAAAGGTGGGAGGAAAAGATTTGCAATTGCAACGTTGCCAAAGATATAAAAATTAAATTTGGTGTATTTATAAAATGTGTTCTGTCTTTAGGCAACACAAATTACGTCGTTTTGAATGACCAAAAATTCTAGTATTTTTTTATATATTTATTTAAATTTTATTACAAACTGTTGTGATGAAAATATTTGGTTCATCCAAAAATGCAATAATCTTAGGATACAGATAGAACCTTAGACTATTTCCTTGTCTAAGGATATAACCCTCAAAGGGAGAAAGGAAAAGTGCAATTAAAAGTACAACAATCAGTGGCGTACTATAATAATTTGATAATTTAAAAATATTGTAAATCGAAAATTCTTATATGCTGTAGAATAGTATTTGAATGGAGTAGAATAGTATTTTAATGTTGCACATATACTACTTGCCCATGAATAGGGCACAGGTTTGTTGCTTTGTGTTTTTTTTATTTACTCAATTTCAACTACTCATAATTAGTTTGATTTTTAAGCAACTGTATACATTCTAAGTAAACTGTTTTATATAACGTGACGAATGAAGAAGGAAAAATAAATATAAAACTAAATATTCTAGCGAACCCATTTTCTATAGATCTAAAGAATTTATTAATATATTATTAGCAAATGTAAAAAAAAAAATTCTACTTGTCGGTTATTTCTTTGGAAAAATCGAGAATATACTTTTGACTTAAATTATTATTAAGATTTCTTTCATTAAAAAGAAATGCTGCCCTTCGTGAGCATTTTCCAATTAAAATTTGTTTCCTACCCCCGAGGTCCGTTTATACATCTAAAAATATATTATTTTATTTAAAATTACAAATATTTCGTTCTTTTTCATCTTGTAGACCATGGAAATACTTTGCTGCAGTCCCAAAAGAGCCCTCGACGACGACATCTTGAAAAAGCCTGTGTAGAAACCCAACAAACAATAAATTTTCAGGATTTTGCTGACCTTTTGCTGTAATTGAAGGGAATATGAATGCGACGATTAAAAGATAAAAGCCTACTTTTGGCCTTTCTATATTGGCCCAGCATTATGTTGCTTGATGATGGCCTTATGAAGGGTAAGTAAGTAAGTAAGTAAGTAAGTAAGTAAGTAAGTAAGTAAGTAAGTAAGTAAGTAAAGTAAGTAAGTAAGTACGTAAAGTAAGTAAGTAAGTAAGTAAGTAAGTAAGTAAGTAAGTAAGTAAGTAAGTAAGTAAGTAAGTAAGTAAGTAAGTAAGTAAGTAAGTAAGTAAGTAAGTAAGTAAGTAAGTAAGTAAGTAAGTAAGTAAGTAAGTAAGTAAGTAAGTAAGTAAGTAAGTAAGTAAGTAAGTAAGTAAAGTAAGTAAGTAAGTAAGTAAGTAAGTAAGTAAGTAAGTAAAGTAAGTAAGTAAAGTAAGTAAGTAAAAGTCGAAAGGCTTTTTACTGCCGCAGATTCAACTCCAACTGTCCAAGAGGGTTTCGTCCCGCGTTCATAGGTGGAGACACCGATGATCACTTGTTACATACTCAACGAGTGGACATGTACTATGAGGCTAGTCTGGCATTGTATTCATTGTAATTTTTTACTTTTAAATGTTAATTTAGAATAGTTTAAGTATGGTAAAAGGCCAGAAATTTCCCGTTAACTTCCCATTAATTGCCAATATATTTATTACTAGCAGCGTTGCCAACGGTTTATCAGGAAATTACTGGCAAAATGGGATCAAAAGGCTGGCAATTACTGGAAAAATATTTTCGATTACTGGCAATATAGCATGTTAATTTTTTCTAGTACCTAGTAACAGCCCAGAACCCAGGCCAAAAATATTAAAGTCCCGTAAATTTAGATAAAGAAAACAATGACGTTGGTGCGTGGCGTTTAGCTGCTTTGAAATGAGGTTGACATTCTGCGGAGATATTTAAAAATGTACTAGAAAATTCGAGGAAAAATGTACTAAATTTTAGATTTACTGTCAGTTGTCAAAACTGTCATGTATGTTGTCAGTTGTCATGTCAAATGTCAACTGCAGGATGGATGTTTGTTTTGTTTTTAATGAAGGTTATTAAAATAGTAAATAGGTAAATTTAAAACAAAATTTCGGTTCACGGATCATCGAACTACATAGACATTGACATTATATTTGCGACTTTCTTCTTTTTGTTTCTCTTTTTTCTCTATATGATACCGATCTTGGGTACGGAGTTGTTTGGCCAGCGCTGGCCACCAACAGTGGTGTGAATTCTGGATGTCAAATGTCAATCTAAGATACTAGAATGATGCCCCGAATTAAAAACCGATATATTATATATTTTTAGCGGAATAATTGGAGAATTATAAAATACTGGCACAATTCATTGCTGGCAAAATAACTGGCAAGCTTCATTTTTACTGGTAAATGACAGTATATACTGGCAGATTGGCAACACTGATTACTAGACATTAAAGGGAAAATGGAGGCATATTAACTGGATTTAATGGCTAAGTAACTTCGACCCGACTGTCGGCCGTGGTGACCTATATATGCCGGCTTTTTAATTATAAAAGTTAAATGGCAATTGGAAAGTAACAAATATTACCCTGCACAAAATGTTTGCTAGGAAATGCTGCCATAAAAGCGCAAGCTTTAAACTTTCAAATATTTGCATCAAAAGTTTGCTGCCACTTTCTTGAAATTCTGCTCACAGTACCTTTTTGCTAGGAAGCAACATCCCAGCTCAATTTAGTTGGCGTCTCGTTCTTTCTAATGCGACAGCTTTATCTGTCTAATTTGAAACAGGAATTGAATACTTGCAATTTAACAAATAATGCTTATTTATTAATAGTATTTATCATAGGATTGTCTAGAAAGAGGAAAAATTAAGCATTTTATTGTAATAATTTTTAATTAAAAACAAATTTATTAATATTTTCATGTGCAGGAAATCTTGTATAGGCTACCACAAAAACCCACTCTACATCATCTATTTCATAACAAACGTAGCTTGGGAACTTAAATATTCCCTAATGGCCTGTGAATCTCTTTTCAGCCAAGCAACATTTACAGTTATACTTTCTAAAACTTGTTGTACAGATTTGTCAATCCAAGCGTTTTTATTCTTAGAGAAGAACTCTTCTAGATCGTCCTTATTCTGTTGAGTCGCAAAATCGTGAGTAACTTGTTTAATTAAATTCTGTAAGAGAGGACCCGCTGTAAATTTAGCTCTTATTCCATCCCAATTTTCCTTAATGAATTGCCACGTTAATTCTCTTCCTAGAGTTGTTTTGGAAGCGGATATTAAAACCAAAATTCCATCTTGAGTTTTTACATGCTCCTAAAAACAAAAGTTTTTCTGTTTATAGAGTGTTTGGGGGAATAAGAACAAAAGATAAACATTTGAAGAAGTTATTGAAGTTTGTCAATCAGAAAGTGGGAGAGATATAGTGACTAAGACAGTTAAAATATTATTATTGTAGGAAAGAGGAACTTAGGCCCAATAAATATGATAATTAGGCAAATCTTAACACTATAGAACCAAGAAAAGAATTCCATTTAAATACTAAAAACAGTAAAAAAATTAATTACTTACTGATAAAGCGATATCAAGTAACTTCTTTATGAGATGACTGGTCTTAACGAACCCTAATCCATTGATAATTCTCATTTTTTCTTCATTTAAATCAGTCGTCTTGTATAATTGGAACATAGAATCGAATTCCTTTTCCGAACCAGATGAAACAACTATTTTATAGCAACCTACTCTTATATCGGCTGGTAACAATTTTTCACCATTAACGTGTTTCAAAAATCTAGACCTCGCTTCGTTTATTATATCTTCATCTTGTAATGAACTGAAGTGTTCCAAAATTTTGCCCCTGAGTAGGGTATCTATGTGCGAATCGTTAGGCTTTGGTTCCCATCCAACTGATTTGAATATATTTTGTACTAGTTGTTTTCGGTACTAAAAATGGTTGTTTATCTCAAAAAATGACTTTCCTTATATCTGTATACAGATAGGAAAGTAAAAATACATAATTTGAATATATTGCTGTATTTTTAGGTATTTTTTTTCATAGGCAAATACACCTACGGTTAGGTTAGATAGTCCCTATGAAAAAAGTACAACAATATATTCAAATTTGAATTGTAGTCCACCGTCCGACCAGATTTATGTCTAGTCGGTGTTTAATCTATATATACCTGGTGTTTAAATTAAAGTTTTACAATTAAATACCGGCGAAAATACGTAAAAATCCGTCGAAAACTGTAAGTCGAAAAAAATAATGATTCCTATAAAAATGTCCACCAAAAAGCTCTAAATAAGGTTTCAGAAAGTGGGCAGAATGGCGCTCGTATACTAAAAGGACGTGATCCAATTATATATTTGTTAAGAACTCAATTAATAATACCTGTGCTTTATCCGCGTGAGTTACGATTCCCATATATTAGTTGAAGATATATAAATTAGTGTTGTTTTTAAGAAAAATAGTGTTATAAAATAACTTTAAATAAATAAACGTTACAGTAACATGATCGACAGTATTTTCGAAAACAGCTCTATTATTTTGGTGATTCTAAATACACGATTAATAATATTTATTATTATTTGAAAATATTAATATCCATAAAATTATGATTTAGCAAGTTGTAAATATCCCGAAATATATAATTTTGGGAGTGAGGATGACCAGGAACTTGTTGGATACGTTGTGGACAGTAGGTAGACTTTTTCATAATTATAATGTATATAAAACATATAAAAAAAACCTTCAGTTTTTTTACTTTGGCCTTCTGCGTTTTACTTTCTTCATATCAAATATTGTATTCTAGATTCAAATTTCAATATATCTTCCACAGTCACCCTCTAATTGTAAATTTCTTTAAATTTTAACTAATTTGTTAACCTTTTTTCAATTTTGTGAATAGTGAGGGTGGCATGATTCCTTAATTCCACACAAGCTAACTTGCTTCTGGAGATCAGATTTGATTTGTAAGGGCTTATCCCACACTCACTATTCCCAATACCAGTTTTTTGTCACTTTGTTTGTTTCTTGTAATTTTTAATTTGTTCAAACAATTGTATATATACTATTTTAACTTTTGACTTAAAAGTCTAATTCAGATTTTATAATATATTTTTTAAAACCTTTTAAATTGTAAGTTTACATCCACAATTTTTGTAGATGAGCACTGATGATGGCAAATAAGCCGAAAGCGCTTTGCATTGATTAATAAAAAAGTTTTGCACGAAATACAAGTTTTTCCTTTTGAATCTAAACTACGTGCACACAGCTGTCAACCTTTTTTGGTTTTTTTAATATTTAATTTTGCTTAAACACTTGCTGAAAGTAATTTCTATCTATAATCTTATTTTAAAAACTAAAAATCTAAGTAACTTACGTTTCTAAATAAATCACTAGTGTCAGTATAATCCAGAATCGTTTCCAACTTATTTAATATAGTAATGATAGAAATCCAAACGTTCGAATCCGTTTCTTTTTCATAATTTTTGAGAAAATTCAACAATGTACCCGTATTCATATAACCTGCTTTTACCAATGCATAGGTATCTTCTAACAAACCTAATCTACAAAATAAAACAAACATAAAAGTAACACGCGATTCATAGTTGAAATATTACCTGTCTAAAGGTGGGAGAGTTTGATTCCTAATATCAACCGAAAATTTGTTCAACATATCATCTGTATATTGTGTTCTATAAAAACCAACAACTCCTGGATTAACTTTAATCCAGTCTGTAGATTTCAAACCAAAAATTGTTATTTCTGTAGATTCCTCGGTTAAAAGAATATTGCTTACTGTACCGCTTGGATTCGAACTTGATGAAATTGATATAGGAACCATCCAACGACAATTTTCAGATTGGGTACCATCTGCAGTGAACTTAGTTTGAGAAAGTTTTACTTTTGTACCATCTGATATGCCTTTAAATAAAAACAAACCAATTAAAATGATCTGTAAGTTATTTTAAAATTTGTAAACTATTCGATTTAGGAAAATGCAAAGTGTGTAAAACTGTAACGATTATTTAATTTAAAAATAGTTTATTTATAAGTACTAATTAATTTATTTAATATTTAAGCACCATTATAATTCACACTTCTAATTTATTTACCAATTTATCTTTATTCGACAACATTTATTGACAAAGTCGCACTATTTATATAAAAATGCTTTACATTTTGAATTTACCGCCATTTTTCAATTGTCATTTCAATTCTAACTCCAAATACAAGGTGGCGCTAATTTGGTAGGTCTTTGTATGGGGATTTTTAACAAACCCAACATCCTACGTAAAACTAGGTAAAAACGTCGTTCTTAGTGACTTTAGTAACAATTTAAATACCAAGTCTATATAGACAGATCAATGACATTGTTTTTGGATTAGTTTGAAGTATTGAAACTATAAATTTTCTTGCAAAAATCATTAGATTAATTCAATACTTACTTGTAGTTTCAACTTTAATTAATGGAAAACCCATTTGTTTGGTCCAAGTTGACATAATTTTTGCAACAGGCTCTTTGCTGGCTTCCTCTAAAGCATTCCACAAATCTTCAGTCGAAGTATTTCCATACTGATATCTCTTCAGGTACAAAGACATACCTTCCCTAAACTTTTCATTTCCAATAAAATGAAACAACATTCTGATAATGGATGCCCCTTTGTTGTAAGTAATAGCATCGAAAATCTGATTGATTTCTGAGGGATTGTGTACAGCCACTTCAATGGAATGGGAATTTCTAAGGCTGTCGAGCTCTAGAGCTGCTAAGAAATAAGTGTTGACAAATTGTGACCAAATATTATATTCGGGAAAGAGATAATCAGTGACTAAAAATTGGGTAAATGTTGCGTAGCCTTCGTTTAGCCATAAATCTGTCCACCATTTCATTGTTACCAGATTGCCAAACCACTGGTGAGCTAATTCATGAGCAACTACTAGGGCTACATCTTGCTTATTTGCTGTTGACGAATTTTTAGGGTCTATTAATAGACGTTGTTCTCTAAAATATATATATACTAATAATTAGAGGACTACACAGAAATATAAATGGTGAAAGTATACACTTAAAATTTGTCACCACAAAAGAGACCAAACAAACAAAATTAGAAAACAAAACTGTATTCATACAAAAAACTATGAAGTTTTCTTTTCTAATGTATAAATTAAAGTAGTTCTGTCAGAAAATAGTAAACAACTAATGTGGAAATAAAATATATATGGAACCAGAACAAAGTCAAAATAATGTTGTGAAAAAATACACTATAACCCAGGGCTGTCTAACATGAACCCAAAAGTTATAGAAATATGCCTAACAAACGAAAATATACATTTCTACACAAACAATGAATAAAATAACACATACATAGACTCTTTATCTTCTCCAAACGAAAAAAGATTTTTCTTTTCTACTTATTATAATATTAACTAACCTGTAAGTAATTAGACCCCAATTTTCCATAGCACCATAACTTAAACTAGCCACAGCCACTAAATCCAATTTCGGTAAAGGATAGGCAATTTTAAAATACTCCTTATAATAGGGTAACACTTTCGATGCAACATCCAATGCAAATTCTCCTTGTTGTTTTTTCTCTAGGGGTGTATAAACTCTTATCAATACTCCATCTGATGATTTCTTTTCAACAAAATCATAATGGCCTACTATGAACGCCGCTAAGTAAGTAGACATCTTAGGGGTTGTTTTGAAAAAATATCTAAAACCATTTATTTTTAAGTAAGTAGTATAGAGTGATCAACAGAAAAGGTTTCTAAAGTACAATTCTTCTTCTTCTGAGTGTCAGTTTAGATTAAATTAAGAGCAGAGTGTAGTTGTTTATGTTCATTATTCATTGTGAGATATATAAAAAGTGGACTGTAATAATTTGAAAAACTGGTTCTATTTTAAAAATTAAAACAACTTTACTCTGTGAAAGTCTAAAAGCAACGACTTTTTCTAAGCCAAAAGACACATATTTTATCTTGTTGATGAGTAAAAAATACTCATGAGAAAGTGGACTTACTTAACAACATCTCCTGAAGGAATAGTTTTTTGAACTGACGTATTGGACAGTGTTGTTAGACTCTTTGAAGTTGTTAATGCAATATCAAAAGTGGCTTTATGAGCTGGTTCATCCCAACAAGGAAAGCATCGTCTTGCATCAGCAGGAGCAAATTGAGTCAATGCAGAATAATATTCTTTTCCTTTATCATCTATATATTTGCTCCTAAAATAAAATAAAAAGTAAATGGGTTTTTATCAATAAAATGAACTGAAGCAGAATTTGAGACTTTTGTTAGAATCTGATGATGAATCTCATGCAGTAAAGAACACATGTAATATTTGTGGGGCCAATTACTTAAAAAAAATCCCATAATGAAAGAGTTCATATATTTAATGTAAACTACCTCATATACCTACACATTTTACAGAAATTTTATGTTAGACTTACCTATAAAAACCTCTCATATTATCTTCAAGTTTTCCTTTATATTGAATATACAGATTGTAATTTCCTGCTGCAAGAACAGTGTCAAACTTAATGACCACTTTTTCCTCATCAAATATAAATGTAGTTTTAATTGGTGCATATTCATTTTTAACATTTTTTAATTTTACAGAGTCAAAATCCAAATTTAAAGAATTGAGGGTAATTTCATCTGTTTCTGCCTGGATCTGCAGATAAAAATAAAATAGCAACATACTTACATTTCTAGAATTTTTTTCACTATGACATATTAAATAAAAAGTTCTAATTGGCTCTTTGAACAAGCAGATTCGTTTAGCAAGAGGGGTCAAATCTACTCATGGTGTGATCAACAAATTCATCCCAGATACTTCAAGACGAATTCGTCTAAACGATCATAAAGAAGTACCATCTATAAAATATGTATTCGATAAATAAAAAATCCAAATTCTAAATGTAAAAATTTAAAACTGTTAAAAACCTACTTTTTTATTAAAATAACACTTTCAAACTACTGGGCATTAGAGAACAATAATATTTACATTTACAATGCCCTGTATAATTTGTCTGGAGTAACAACTGTATCGCATTATTGAAAGTAATAATTGAATTTGGGTGATTCGTAAAACTGCAGTTTAATTGTTCCTTTGCATTAAAAAATAAAATAACTTATCTGTACTTACTTCGATATCAACTGCTACTTCACCAACAAAATTAAAAGTTTCTAAATTTGGTGTTAGATGAATGTTATAATGTTTTGGAATAACTGCGATAGGTAATTTTTCAAACTTATGTTCAACAGACATTTTGTGATAATTGTTAAAAAATAACGTGTTGGGATACTTCAAAATAAAACTAATTGCTTTATGCAAATAATTATACATTAATCTTAAATAATTAAATAAATACTTTTATCTAACTAGATTATGATAAGGAATATAGTTATGTATAGGTAGACAGGTTTTAATCTAAAAATTATTTAAAAAATCATATTTCCATCTTTTATTTTTTTAAAAAATGGGCAACAATTATTGACATTAACAATAATTAAAAAATCCACCACTTTCAAATTTCAAATAAATAAAAATTGACATATATCATAGTAAAAACAAAAACTATTTGGTTAGGAACAAAGATATCGAATAGAATAGATATCGGTACACCTTCATTACATTTTATTTTTTATTTGTTCCCAACATCTTTCTGACAGTTCGCTCATCCTATGTTGTCATATCTTTTCCATCAAATATCCTTCGCTAAATTTTTATTAAAAAAATTACTATTCCCTTTGATGATATAATCTATTAAAAATGAAAAATGAAGAATTGAAAGCATCAGTTTTTATTCATTACAATCCCTTAAGATTTTTATTTATCGTCTTTTACACGTGTATCGTATGTGGATATTAAACATTCTGATTCATAACCTTTAAGCTTGGCAATCTAAGACATTTCGTTAACGGCGTAAAGTGACTACACCACATACTTTGATTTTCTTTTACTATACGGAGAATGGTCGTACTGCGCAGCTTTCTGAGTGCCTTTTAAAAGGAGATAAAAAAACTCCGCCATTTTGATCCCTTATTACGTGTTGCCTACATCTTGGCGCAATATTTTTAATAGGTGCGTTTTAATCATCCACTTCTGCTTCGGAATTGTCGGTTTTCTTGTTTTAATCTGACAGGTTAAAACGACTAAACCGACAATTCCGGAAGCAGGAGCGGATGATTAAAACGCACCTGATATTTTGCCTGCTGCTGTCAGTGAGAAAATCAAATGCTGCGTTTGAGAATCCACATCGGATGCATTTTTTACATCTCGAGCGTTTTTTTATCCACATCGGACACATCTACTACATCTACATCTGCGTTTTTTTATCCCAGATGTACCTGTTCAGATTACATTTTTTACATCTCGATTTGGAATGAGATGTGAATGAGATGTTCGTTCCATGCCAGAAAGTAAGTGTTCTGTGAAGCCTTGTTTGTCAATTTTTCCTTTGTTTATGCTAGCATGAATATAAAAGTGATTAGTTTGCTTAATTTTTGTTTATATTTCAAATTTAGGTTGATTTGTAGTCTCAAAAGTCAAATTTAATAAGTATAAACTTCTAACTTGTCATTGACATTTGTCACGTGACCAAATAAAGTCTAGAGCGTTTGTTTATTACATCTACATTCAGATCTAATTCTCTATCACGTGATAAAAAATTCACAACATCTCAGATGCATCCGATGTGGATTCTCAAACGCGGCAAAAGTATGTGGTGTCAGTAAATATTATTTTTGGATTCACAGTTTATTGCTAAAGAATCAGTTAGCTCACTCGGACCAGTTGAAAGTTCCAAAATAACATCCACTCCAGGGATACAAATTCAGGATATGCAGAAAACTGCTGTTTTATTATAGACGGTTGTCATATATTGTATTATCCGAGTTGCGCAGTGTATAAACTGGAACATTGAGATCAAAAGTGCCAACGCAGAGTGAGCGATCTGATTCTTTAGCTATAAACTGTAGCATAGGAATCAAAACTGCCGCGCCCTATGTTGGGCGTGTCGGACCTCTCTCTTGCACCGTATAGTAAAAGAAAATCAAAGTATGTGAGTTGCGCACTAAATTACACACGAAACAGTCAATCCTAGAGTGTCCTAGGACTAGATTTGGAGAAACCCGAACACGTAAATTTAAATGCGCATGATTATAACGATTTTAAACCGTCCTCAAAAGTAATTCGAACAAATCTTGTTAATCAGAAAACATCGAATTTATTCCAACTTATACCTCCTCACTGTACCAACCTGTGACCATTCTTGTTACTTGTTAGTAGAGTAGAGATGTACAGAGTGCTAGGTTTTATTAGTATTATTATATTAAATCAAATAAAAATCTAAGAGTTAAAAATATGGTATTAGTTGCTAAAAAATGGTACAAAAATAGAAAATGGTACCCTCGGGTATCGTAGTAGAGAAAACGGTATAAAAATTGTATACCTGGCAACACTGTATAGACAGAAATTGACAGTTTGTAGCGGAGCTGAGCGAAGTGGACCCGATACATTGGCGTATAAAATTATTTTATAGATAACAATTTTGGGTGAATAGTTTAATAAATTATGAATAGCTGTAGAAATTTTGTAGAATTATGATTTGGGATATTATAATACCTGTTTAATAATTATTTCTAATCCATAAATACATGCGATTGTCCAGTGTTCCGCTGGTAATAATTTAAAATTACTTATATCTATGAAACAACTGGCAGATAAACACTACCACGGATTTTTCGAAGTAGTCCAACGCAGTTTTACATTTTACCTATCAAAAGCCTATCTTGCTAGCAAGGACAGAAGTTGGAAAGGCTTTTGGCTTCTGCCAGTTTTCATCCCACTTCAGACACAAGAATTTACAGTTTTGCCGCAGAGTTAACTGTTGGAGGACCGGAGGTTATTCAACCTTATTGAGCTAACCGAAGTGAACACGAAACATTGGCGTACAAAATTATTTTATAGAGATGTTATAAACAATTTCGTGTAATCATACATCGTACGATTGCCCGGTTCCGCCGCTAACTTAGATAAAAGAGACCAGAGATATAACATACACCGGTGTTTAACCTGCGCAAATGTTGCCAATTTCTAAAGAAAGGTTAACGGAGTGGGGGAACTGGGCAGGGACTCGAACTCTGTGACAGGGTCCGGACTTTGTTTATTAGCATCATAATGAACTATTAGATTTATTTAAAATATACGTTTAATGGAATTTTGTATTATGAAATAAATTTAACGTGATTTTTTAATATCAAACAGATGCCACGACATTTTATGTAAAGAGAAGACCTTTAATAGAATATTTCGTTAGCTATTATTTACTATGGACTTTTCTGTAAGAGACTACAGTAAAATGTTAAAATAGAATATTGTTAATCGAGTAAGAAATGGTACTCATTGTCTAAGAGTATTATAAAAAAGCATGTGCGCAGGCGAATACTGCAAATCAAACCTTGTGAGTTGAACATTATATTTTTTCTACGACTATCACATAATATTAAAATTTAGTCAAAATGAGAAAATGCTGTTTTGTATTATAACCTCAGAAAAAGATATATTAAAGCTTGTTTCTTTAGGAATATTAATTAATATAGAGGATGCGTCACATAAAACTCTAGAAATGTATATGTCTGAAACCAGATAACATTTTAAAATTTAAACCTATTAAAAGTCATTTGGTCGCTAGGAGTGGGTGATTATCGAAATAAATTATTGATCATTAATAATAATCGATTATTTTCGATCAATCGATTATTTTCAAACTATCTATTTTTGTTCGTATTTCCTTTAAAAATGACTACTTGATTATCTTTAAAAAATCAAAAAAAATAGATTAATTAAAAAGCCAATTAACCGATAAATCAGTGTTTACAAAAAATAATAAACGAATTATCGTTTATTTTAAATAATCGATTATTTTTAATTTCTATTTTTTTGTCGTATTTCCATTGAAACATTATTCGATAATCTTTGAAAAATCTAAAATAATCGATTAATCAAAAATAATCGATTAATTAAAAAATCAAATAATCGATAAATCGATTTTTCAAAAAAAAAATAATTATTTCCTTTAAAATCAATTATTCGATCATTTTTGAAACATCGAAAATATTCGATTAACGGAAAATAACCAATTAATTAAGAAGATTCTACGATAAATCGATTTTCCAAAAAAAAAACTGAATAATTATTGATTATTTATAAATAATCCTTTTCTTTTTTTATATTTCTTTTAAAACTGATTATTTAATTTTCTTTGAAAAATCGGAAGTAATTGATTAATAAAAAACTGATTTACCGATAAATCAATAATTCTAAAAAATAACCGAAATATCGATTATATAATATAACCGATTATATTCGATCAATCGATTATTTTTATATAATCTATTTTTTGTATTATAAAACAAATTATTTGAATACCTTTGAAAAATCGAAAATAATCGATTAATCAAAAATAATCGATTAATTTAAAAAGTCTATTAAACAATAAATCGATTTTTCTAAAAAATCGATTATTTTCAATAAATCGAATATTTTGAATAAATCTACTCTCTTTTTGTAATTCCTTTATAATCGATTATTCTATTACCTAAAAAAACGAAAAAGATTTATTAGAAATGTTCGATTAATCAAACATAATCTATTAAAGATAATCGATTAATTATAACGGATAAATCGATTTTCATGAAAACGATAAATCGATTATTTTTGTAACCCCTATCGGTCGCATGCTTTTATCAGAGCAAGCTCCAAAATTTAGAGATTCGGATTTATTGATCCTGTTATCAAACGAAGATATTTTTCGAGTTGTTTAGGGGTTTATAATGTAACATTTTACTAATAATATGACTAATTTCCGTAACTTTAGTATTTTTTGCTTATACTAGAACATATTGCGCGTTTTACTTTGTTTTAAGATTCAAATGTCACTTCTGATTTAACCGCAAATAAAATAAACCTTGAAATTTTAAGTAGGTGAACCTGTATTTCATTTAATATTCTTGTAAAAATATCTAATAAAGGGCTAAAAACCACTTTTAGTAAATATTCTTATAAAACTACTTTTTAAAAACAAAATTTCGTTAGTAACAATGCCTATTGACTTCTTATTTAGATTAAATATTTATTGAAACTCCTTAATGCGGATCTGAAGTATTTAGCTCAAAGGATCATGGCGACTTTATGTCAAAACGTCAACAAATATTTACCGCTGAAAACGAATATATTTCTTATTTTTCATAACTTTGACACATATTATTAGTATATACAATTTTTCACCATACATCGTGGCATTTTCAAATTGAAATTGAATAACTAAAACACTTTAAATTGCTAATAACACCAACAAATAATTCAAAAACGACGGTCCATAAATGATTTACTCACGCGGAGACAAGCAAAGAATAGAAATTTCGGAGCAATTCGGGTGGCGTCGTGAACACAATGATTTTTAATTGGTGGGTTACTTAGGTTTGGAATAGACAACATGCGCAATGTGCAATGTTATATCTCCGGTCTCTTTTATCTAAGGCCGCTAACAATTTAAAATTACTTATTCTATGATACGACACTGGTGAATAAACATACTGCGAAATTCACGAAATCGTCCGACTGGATTTGACGTTTACCATCTCTCCACCTACCAAAAACCCTTCCAACTTTTCTCCTTTTCCTAAGATAATTTTTGTCAAAATAATTTTTCCGTTCGATCTTAATGTCAAATAAAATTTCAACATTAATCCTTGAGATTGAAAAAAAGAAACTACTAAGCGTTACGCATAACCTGTTGGCTTACAAAAGAAATAAAAATTGGTGTACTGTGAAAGTACCGTTAGGAAAGCAAAGTACGAACGTCCCTGGCCCTGTCCCCTTCAAAAGTCGTCGCACTGATCTCTTGCGCCTGCCACAATCGGTTGCTGTGTCAGTGGGGCGACGTCAACATTGTAGTAAGTGGTTAAGTTGTAGATACAGTAGTAGTGATAGTAAGAGACATTTTACAATTGTCGAGAAAACTAGAAAAATGCCTGAAGGAAAACCATTCGAAAGGCTGCCGACAAATGTGAAACCGAAACACTACCGCCTTGCTCTCATACCTGACTTGAAAGCCCTGACTTTTCGGGGAGATGTTTCTATTGAAATTGAGGTAGGTCTATTTTTTTTACCATATGCCGGTTTTTTTATATACCTACAACACGTTAGAGTAATACTTTCGGTTTTGATTTACCTTTATTAAAATCTGCACATGGCACCATCATTTTTATGTTTTAGTGAATGTTTGTGAAACTTGTCAATTATCTTTGATTAATGCATTGAATCCATTCAAAATATTTTTATTTCATTAACTGCAAACCCTATTGAATAAATAAATTAATGGAAAAATAATTTATCTAAAATAGTAAAACACTAGATTGATCTTTTGCTGTACCTATATAGGTATCTATAAAATTTATATGTAACTTAATCTGAGTAATTATTAGAATTAGGTCATTTATTTTTACTAAAATTCCCGTATATTTTGATTCAAAGATAGTTTTTCACTTGTCTCATGCTTAAATGCAGTTTAGCATTGTTTGTATAGGTACTTAGGTACATATCTACCTAGAAACTCACATCATTAAGTAATAGTGACTGTTCAAAATTTACGGTATCAGAATCTTTCCCATTTAATAATAAGGTTTCTAAGTCTCCAATTTTAAATATTTTTTAGGCCTTACTTTACACAGTTCATTAACATTTTTTTTACATGACATATGAGTATAACAAATATAACAATGCATCTGCATATTGTTACATTATTGTTTAGAGTAAATCATTAAATTTCTAGACCTCAGAAAATTGTTTGGTTTTTTATTGTCTAGTTTGAGCTTTATTTGCTTATAATAAACTAAGCATAGTACTTGTAGGTATCACTATAGTAAATAAAAAATATTGGTTCCATATCTTGTGCAAATAATGACAATTAATATTTTTAAATAAATATTTCACAATTTATCTCAAATTAAAGCACACAGATTGAAGAGTGAACCACTATTTGTAAAAATATACATGTATTGTTGAATTCATATGATTTCCACATAATTTTGAAGGATTTTTAGTTACTGTGGAGATTTCCACATGACTTCCATAGATTTTTCATGACTGTGGTTATTTATAATGACAAAAAACTACTAATCCAATCTATTTATTCATAATTAAGCCCTGCATTAAACAAAAAGAGACAACTGCTATCTTATTATGATGTCTATGGTTAAAAATGTCTAATATTGAGGTGGAAATTGTTGAATGACCCACTTCCTTTGAATAATATAGAGATGACATGCCAAAAAAGTGTCACCACTTCCCCCTCCCTTACAAGATATGTTATAGTTCTCAAAAAGCTGTCAAAATTTTTTCAAATTTTAAATATTTCTGAATTTATCCTGTTCTAGTCAGTCTTTTTTATTATTTTGCATAAAAATCATGACCAGGTGTACTCTAAACCTAATTATAAAAGATATAAATTGAAGAAATAGTCTGATTTAAGTTTTCACAAGTGAGTACAAGGACTGTACTTAGTATTTTTTCATAATTCTTAACCTTTTGTTTAACGTTTCAAATTTTATTATAATTTCCAAAAGACATATTTTAAATTTGTGGAAAAATATCATTTAATACCAATTAATTTTTAGGACGAATTTTTAGATAAAAGTGAGTGTAGGATCAGATTAAAGAATGCTGTTCCAACATTAAATTACTGTTTAGTTAGTAGTATAAATTGTATTTACAATAAAATTTAAATAACTAACCATATAAAGAACTTTAGCTCAACTAACTATAATAAAATTTAAACAACTAAATTTAACTTTATAATAAAACTTAAATAGCTAACTTTAATTGTACAATATTAAATGATATAGTGTTATACTTGTTATCATAATTAGTTATATTTCTGGTTGTTCTTTATTATTTAAAAAATAAATTAATTTGCTGACAATTTTATAAGTAAGTTTGCTACAAATATAACAACTATCATTAAACAACTATCTCATCATATAATTTGAACAATAATATTTGACTATAAGTTAATATTATATGTACAGTATAAAGTACATTTCTTATATATCTGAATAATGTTTGTTCTTTGCATTATGAGGCAAATTATTGTATTGAAAAAGTCTATTGTGGAAAAGATCAATTGGTGGTAACTGTAGAAACATATAAGTCTTCTCTGCCTCACATTAGATAGTTTGTACATCTGTCATATATCTAAGTGTTTCTTAATATATATTCAGGAAGAAATTTGTGGTTTATTTTATATACAAGAGTCTTGTATTTAGAAATAATATCAGTTTATCACTCTATAATTCTTTTGCTTGTTTCAATATACTTATATAGCGATTATATCCTATAATACAAGGCAAAGCATGATTCTGCTTAGGGGGCGTCCATTAATTACGTGAGATGTTCAAGGGGGGGAGGGGATAAAACTAAATCTTTCCAAATCTCACTTGGGGGGAAGGGGGGGTTTTCGTAAATCTCACGTAATTTTTTTTCTAGTAGAAAACGGTGTAAAATTGCGTGAAAGTAAAGTTAAATTATAGTAAAAGTATTTCTAGAATAAAATATGGAAAAATCTTATAATTATGTTTATTTATTTTTTATTAATTTCCATTTAAGTATTTATCATTTAATTTTATTAATGTGATTTTAAATCATTGCAACACTCTCAAACACTAGTCTTTGCTAGTCTTAAATAAAAGTAATGGAACATATTGTGTTTTTGTTTTTTTTTTAATAATCATCAAACACATTTACACGCAAAACACGAATTTTGAAAAATCTCACGCGAGATTAGGGAAGGGGGGAGGGAGTTAAGGAAAATCTTACCAAATCTCGCCAGGGGGGGGAGGGGGAGTCAAAAAATCCTTAAAAATACCTCACGTAATTAATGGACGCCCCCTTATAGTATTGCTAAACAAATATACCGGGTTTTCAAATTAAAGTGTTACAGCTAAATTCCGCCTTTTATAAAAAGAACATTTCAGACGAAAGTTTTATAGTTTTGTGGGAAAAAATGTTTGCCTAAAATCGTTTTTTATAGCCAACCATAATATGGCCAACTTTTTTTTCGCCCATCAAAATTTTCAAGTAGCTGTTACTCAAAAAGTAAAAGTCCAATAAAAAATATATTTCCTCAAAAGTTTCTTATTTTTTTATGTACTTTAAGAATATGTAAGAAAAAAATGGGAATACTATTTAAAAAAACAAAGTCCACCTCGATACGGCCATATTATGGTCAGCTATAAAAAAAATTAATTTAGCCAAAATGTTTCCCCCAAAAAACTATAAAACTTTTGTCTGAAACTTTTTTTTCTAAAATGCATATTTTCGGCGGTATTTAACTGTAACACTTTGATTTGAACACCCTGTAGATGAACAGTAGTTTAAATATAAGATAATCGATTTGTAGACTACCAATCAAATAGTAAACAAAAATTCATTAAATAAAAATACCTCTAAATATAGTTTTTATGTCTTTAGATCGCACGCGACCATCGAAAACTAACATTTAACACCAGATTCCAAATGCATTTTTTATACTAATGATTCAATACACAAGTATCAATAAAAAATAAAATAAATCGTCAAATAGCAAGACCTCTAAATACATTTTTTAGGTCTTCACTCTTATCAAAATATCTAAAACCAATATTTAGTTTTGTTTTAACATGTGAATTATTAAATTTAATTTAAAACCAGTGTTTTACTATTTACTAGTGTTTATCCTTGGGAGGGTAGTTACCCCCATTATCCGCCCACATCGATGCCTTTGGGTAGTATTCCAAAACAAGACCTCTAAACACGTTTTTTGGTCTTTAAAAAAGCGCAGCACTGATAAACATTACTTTTAAAATATATATAAAAAAACCATATGTATTTAGCACGAAAATCCAGATATAATTTTTAGTATGAATGACTTAGTATTAGTATAATTCAAAAAAATTATAAATCATTACATAGCAAGACCAAAATTGCGCGGTTTCGCGGAATAACATTACTCTATCAAAATGTCAAAAACCAATATTTAGCACGAACTTCCAGATATAATTTTTAGTACGAATGATTCAGTACATTAGTATCATTTAAAAACATAATAAGTTGTTACATAGCAAGACCCCTAAATACTATTTTTAGGTCTTTAAAAATGCATGGTGCCGCGGATAAACATTACTTTATCAAAGTATAAAAAACCAATATTTAGCACGAAATTCCAGACATAATTTTTAGTACAAATGATTCAGTACATTAGTATTATTGAAAAACTCAATAAATCATTACATAGCAAGATTTCTAAATACGGTTTTAGGATTTTAAATATGCGCGGTTCCGCTGATAAACATTACTCTTTCAAAATAAAAAAATCAACAATATTTAGCATGAAAATCCAGATATAATTTTTGGTATGAATGACAATACATTATTTGCTGCGTTTGAATATTCACATCTAAAGCCTGGTCCAGATCAATAAATTTGTTTGTTGAATGTTGTGTGTTGAATTCGATAAAACTATTTGTGGCGCAAATATTTTTTTTATTGTGATTTTGTCGCGCAAATATGTGCGTTGTGTTGGTGTATCTATTGCGATACATTTTCGTGTCGTGCGTAGCAATAATTTGTGATTGAAATAATAGTAGAAACTAAAAAAATCTGATGTGTCCAACACATGACTTTCCTATCTAGTTATTGTAGGCTTTTTCCGGTTATTTTGTACAACCTATTACAGCATCTCTATAAATGTTTAGAGGATAAACTAAATATATACATTGTCCACATACATCTACCTCGAAACATTTTTCTATAGATATTCATGGAAAACGAAAATACTGAAAAATTTAAATCTCCTACAATTTTTTCATTACGGTCCATTTTAGAAAAATCATGCATAAACAAAAATTATAGATATCGATATCGCAAACAACTTTTATTTTAAAAACTTTCATAAAAATCAGAATTTTGCACATTTTGTCAAATTTCTCGAATATGGACCATTTCAGGAAATTTTTACAAAAAACAAAAATTATAGATAATAATATTAGAAGTAACTTTTATTTGAACAATTTTTTTCTCCAAACATTAATAACAGATATATTTCATAAAATATAC